TTAGTATACCGGACTATTTCCTCGTCTCGAAAAAGCAACTCACGCACTCTATCCAACACCAGGGAGTTGCATCGCACCACTAAACTTCGCTCCAATGCCTTTATTGATAGAAATAACAGGCAAGCTATGTCACTAAATGCACACTCGATATTCATTCTCAAATAAACCCTTATGTGTAAGCGCCTATCAATACTCACCTCAATAGGATAACTAACGATATTGTCATCCTCATAAACTTCTCTACTATCATCCTTAGGACTGTCTTTTATGGTTCCATTACGACATCGAAAATCACGTGAATTCCTCCAATTCTTTCGTGGCGGTTTACGTTGTACTCCTGACGTGTGCGGGCTAAGGAGGATGTATTTTGGCTTCTTTCCCTTGCTCCACAACACTCTTTATTCAAAACCTATTTCTCAATACTCGAGTATGCAACAGCAACAGCAGCCAAATGAATATGCAGTTCCTGCACAAGCAGTAGGAGCAGAAGCGGGAGCAGGGGCAGGAGTAGGGACAGGAGTGCCACCTCAGGCTCAACCTATTACCATGACTGGCCCTACAACTATAGCTACACCTGTCGCAGTAGCACCTACAACAGCAGCAACAGCAACAGCAACAGCAACAGCACCAATACCATCAACTAGAGTAGCAGATGGAGGACAAGGAGCCTCTCAACAGCAAATGACTGATGAGCAAATTCTGACTCAAATGCAAGCCATCAAGGATGAAGAAGCGAATCTACATCCTTTGGTGGACAATTCTGTTGACCTGGTTGAACTTGAAAAAGAGTACCAGAACGGAAGTGCAGCTTTCCAGAACAAAATCAGGGTGAGGAAGAAATATATATATATATATATACAAATAGCAGAAACATTCTTTCATATTTATGTTATATGAATCTAAAGGTACTCATTCAATATGAGGACTTTAACAATCTAATTGTATACATCATTCTTATTGGAATAAATAGAATCTATCAGAAACTCACGATAGGATGCGACGTTCGCGTGGCGATGGTAATTGCTTTTACCGTGGTAAGTTAATACTTGAACCTCTTGAGCACACATATGCACGCATATTTTTATACACTTTTGACTAGCTAATGTTTATTAATATTTCTTCTTTTTTCTTTTTTCTTCCTTCATTTTCCAGCATTTGCATTTGCATGGTTTGAACGAGTGATGCTCGCCAAGAATAAACCCGAGTTGCATATGAATGCAGTCAAGGCGATGGAAGAGTCCAAGGACTTGTTGTTGGCTGCACAATTTGAGCTCCTCGCGTTTGAAGATTTTTACCTGGTGACGTTGGAGACGCTTCAAAACTTGGTTCATTACACACCCGAGGAACTCTTGGCAGCCTTTCAGAATGATGAGATCTCAAACTCGATTGTGATGCATTTCCGGTTGATGGTCTCTGCTTATTTGAAGACCCATCAAGAGGACTATGCACCCTTCTTGGAATTTGGACAGACCATGGATGAATTTTGTTCAATGCATGTGGAGGCGATGGGCCGAGAATCGGAGGAGATGATGTTGATTGCTCTGACCAAAGTCACTCATGTGAGTGTCGAGGTTGCATACCTGAGCGGGAACGAGAATGTGGACGAGGTCAACTTCTTACCATTCTTGCCTGATACAGAGCCGTATATGCCACCCTTGGTATTGTTGTATCGACCGGGGCACTATGACATTCTTTACCGCAAGAGCCATTGCTTAGAAGGAGTTGTATAGACATAGACAACATAAAAAAATAAAAAAATAAAAATAAAAAAAAAAAAAAAGAGGAAAGAAAAAGCGCGTTTTATATTTATTATATAATATGAGCGCCTGAAAACTGCTCTCACATGAGCTCGATTTTTCTGAGGACGACTATCACTATTATATATACTTTTTTATATATATATAAAACGCGAAACAAAACGCGAAATATAACGCGAAAAATTAACGCGAAAGGGAAGGGGAAGGGATGAAGGGGGTAATTTATTAATTCATTTCTACTTTCGGGAAAGGAGTTATTCCGAGGAGGTTGTGAGTTGAGGAATGTGCACATGTAGAGAAAAAAGAGGGAAAAAAAAAAAAAAAAAAAAAAAAAAAAGTGTGCGCGGGGGGTACATGCCCGGTCCGCCCGAATTGGACCCAAAGATTCCGTTGAGCTTTGTGATCAGGGTCCAAAAAATAAAAAGACAGTGGACCACGTTTTTACAAGATGTACACCGAATGGTACAATTTATATAAATGTATATATATATATATAATATAATGCATGTTCTATTATATATATAGTAGCTGTTATTATTCAATTCATTACACCCACCCCACACACACATATATATCTCTATATGAATATATATACAGTATACGATAGCAATATAAAAGAAGAAAATGATGGCAATGCCGATGGTCTAGAAAGAGCAATATAAATATATATACAATACGCACATATAATATATATATTATTATGGTATATATTATGAAATAAGAATATCACATCTATACAACAATATCAATAACAATAACAACAGTGGTTCTAATATACAGATTGAAGAAAGAACAATAATGACATGCACTTTAAAAAGAAAAAGAAATGTTCATTCACTAAGGTCCAGAAAAACTTTACTGAAACATAAAGTTCGAGAGGACACACACTTTCTCTTTCCTATTCCTTATTCTCCCCCCCGCCCCTTTTCAGCCTTTTCAGCCTTTTCAGCTTCCATTCATGACCCCGTGGTCCCTGAATAGAATGTTATCATCTTCTCATTCTTAACAAAAAAAAAAAAACTTTTTTCCTATCCTATTCACAGGGAGGAAGGAAATAAATAAAGATATATATTTATATGGTCAGGCACTTTCAAGAATATGACTAAATGCAATCGAAAACTAAATCTTGGAGATCGTACGTGTACATCATGTACGCCACATTGCCGATCGCTCTTTCAAGAGATTTGGAACTTGTATTTTTTTTTTTTTTTTTTTTTTTCGATGAAAGGTATATATAAATGCTTTTAGTCATATATATATATATATATACTTCTTGAATGTATGCTCGACTAAAAAAAAAAAAAAAAAAAAAAAAGTCGATCTTGTTTATCGCCGATTTGAACAGATGGTAAAAAAGGATATATAGATGGCCCATGTATATAATGTATAAATATATATAAAAATGAAGGAGAATGAAGCGACCATGTATTCCAAAATAGAGTTCTTTTTTTTTATATATATATATATACCACGACATGTAAGCAAGGAATTTTTTTTTTAAAAAAAAAAAAAAAAGTCCAAGGGTAAACTGCAGGCAGGGAAAAAAAAGAAAGACATATTTGATGCAGATGAAGTAGTTGTGCATATTTTATATATATACTGAAACTCTGACTCCGATTGAACTAGAACTAGACCCATGTTATATACGTTTAAACATTTACATATTCATCGATCTGTTACTAACCCAACAACAAAGAGCAACTATGACAACAGCAAAAAAAAAAAAAATGTGCAAATAAATAAATAATCGACAGAATAGACAACATTATGACAAAACATACCAGTTGTTTATTTGAAGGGAAAAATAAAAAAAATAAAAAATAAAAAAAGGCTCTACATTCAACATGAACATATTCATAGAGAATGCTATATTTTTTCGGTCAGTCGACTGGATTGAATAAATAAATGTCTTTATCATGCATGTGTGAAGAGAAAGAAGGAGAGAGAAAGAGAAAGAGAAAAGAGAAAGAGAAAAAGAGAGAGAGGAATGATGCGACATGTCATTGGAAGGAGAGAACCACGAGAACAAGGGTGCTTGAAGAGCAATACTATAAGCAATGCAGACAATCATTTGAAGGACATGGATTATGTAGCCATCTACTACTATCTTACTACAAACCCTTTTTTTTGTGTGTGTGTGTTTGTTGGGCGGGTGAGTGATGATGGCATGTTCATTCCACATTATACCCCATCTGAATGATGATAATGCTTGAAAGGATGAGGAGGAGGGGGATGAACAAACTAGGACATATTAATTTGAATAGGAAATGAAGTTGGAGGATTTGGGTTCAGTAACATGAGAAATGTAAGGCTGTATAACAATGTTTGGTCAACTGAAAGCTGCAGCTCTCGGAGAAGGAGGAGGGAAGGGGAGGGAAAGGATTGTGGTGATGATGACGAAGCGTACATGAATACATGAATGCCTTTTCCCTTTTTGAAGGAAAAAAAAATTAAGACAGAGAGAGAGGCGGGGAAGTGATGGACAATTAACATACACATGACATTGGACATTGAACATTGGACATCGGACATCGAGACTAAGTATTGGAAGAAGAGAATTTCCTCAAGGAAAAAAGAAAAAAAAAAAAAAAAAGAAAGGAAAACATCAACAAAAAACCCCCCCATATCGGAACACAAACAGATGTGGTTCAAGATCATCAATAGAAATGTATAAACAGAATATGCATTCTGGACAATCAGAGTCATATAGATATAATACAGAATACAAAGAGTAAAAGCCTATAAAGGACTAGAATATGATGCCGTTGAGACCAAGGGAGTGTAAGAGACTGTGAGAGCATAGATAATAAGAACTATAAGAACCATAATCCTAAAGACGATGAGAGCAGAAACAAGAGAGACGCCCATGTGGGTTGCATGTGTTTTATTTTAAAATAAAAAATAAAATAAAAGGCTAGAATAAAATAAAATAGTTTTTGCTTTTTATTTCCTAGTCTAAAAGTTTGATAGTTTGATACATAGTTTGATGGCGATCTTTTTTAAAAAAAAAAAAAAAAAAAAAATCGACGCCCATCCTATCCCATTTTGAGTAAACCTTTCCCTGCCCCCTTTCCCTCTTGTTCCCTCTCATCTTTGTAATGACCATTAAAATGCGTGTTCTTCCTGTGTGATCTGAATGGACCAACTCTCCCGCCTTGCCTACCCGGCAGCCTTTTTATTTTATTTTTTTATTTTTTATTTTTGTGCTACAATGATTTAATGGGACGTTCAGGCAAGTGAGCTTGAGCCAACCTGCATTAAACCCACTCTTCTTTCTCAAGCGCGTTTCCGCGGTTTTAATGACAATCAAAACAACAATCATACATACATAATAAAGATCCTCTTTTAAAGTTATTATTATTATTATTATTTGATGAAAGGGGGGTGTGTGTGTGTGTGGAAGAGAAAGAAGAGGAAAGTGAAAAGAGGAGAGAGAGCATAGGGTTGAACTAAACGCATGATCTATGCAGACCTTTGCTTTTTTTTTTTTTTTTTTTTTTTTTTTTTTTTCTTCTTATTTTCAAGCTAGGATTGTGTGGACATCTGTTTTGGATGGTTGGATGGTTGGATGGTTGGATATTGAAGGAAAGTTTTTTTGGTGTGCATGGGGCAATTTGATGCAATGTATGTGCACAAGGTGGTTTTCTTTTTTCTTTTTTTTTTTTTTTTTTTTTTTTTTTTTTCCTCGAGTGAGTGTGTGATGTAGTGGATTTGTATAAAAATCTCGGGTTTTGTTGAAAGGAAAAAAAAAAAAATGCAGAGTTCCCCATCGGCCAAAAGAAGTTGGCTTTGGTTGCAATGATGCGCAAGCACAGAATGCAGATGATATGATTAATGGTAGCCTCTGCACATGCATTTTGGACTCTTTCATACTGCATTAGACCATGACAATGTGTCGCAAAAAAAGATCATTTCCGTACCTGGGTCATGTTCAATAAAAGGAACAGATACATGTTATACATGAGATATTTATGAAAGGTTTTTATTTTTTTATCTTTTCATTTTTGATGATTAGCTTCTGGAGATGGAATGAGTCCATGATGAGCCGATCGAATGAAGAATTGTTTTTCCCTTTTGGTCCTTCTTTTGGAAGTTGTTTCTTATGGATTGTAACTGTTGGTACTGTAGATATTGTACAGATGTTAAGCAATTGAACTAGTGTGTGTGAATGTGAATACAGGTGAATACAGGTGAATGTGCCTGACCCTGTTCTCTCTCTGTGTCCTTGGTCTTTTTTGTCTCGTCATCGTTTTTATACACACGCATGTATGTATCCATCATCGTTTTATTTTTCAGTCTGACATGATTTGACAGCCAGCATTGCCCTGGTGGTCACACTGTCACTTGTAACAAATTTTTTTTTTTTTTTTTTTTTTTACCTTGGAAGGAGAGAAATGTGCCTAAAAGGCAGTGCTCTCAATGTCCTCTTGTCTCTCTCTTTCTTTTTTTTCTGCACCCTTTTTTCTTTTCCTTATCCTTTTCCTCTTTCTCTCTTCTCTCTTTCTCTTCTCTCTCTTCTCTCTTTTTCACCTTCACTCTCGTTTTTTTTTTTTTTTTTTTCTTCTTCTTCTTCCCTGTTACTCATTCATTTGAATAACAAGCAACACAAACAAACACTCCCTCTTTCTCACACTACTTTTGCTCCTTTTTTTTTTCTTTCTTTCTTTCTTACTTTCTTACTTTATTTTTTTCCCTGCCACTCACTTCTGTTTTCTTTTTTGTATCAAAATCTTTTTTTTGTTTGTTATTCATCATTCTTCACTTCTGTACCTGGCTTTTCTTTCTTGTTTTTTTTTTTTTTCCTTCTTTGTTATTGTTATTGTTGTTGTTGTTGTTGTTGTTGTTGCTGTTGTTGTTATTATTATTATTATTATCATCTTTCGCACTCCATTTTTACAATCTTATTCTCCTCTTGTGAATAATATATATCCACCATTCCGTTCAGAAGAAAATACCACGGGGCAACAATGGCCATGGCGATAGAGCAGCCTGATGCCTTCTCAAGTCCCAGCATGGCCTCTGTCGAAGAATTCCTTCAATCTCGCTCAACTGCCCTCAGCCGTACCGACAGCACCAGCTACGGTGGCATTGGCTCTTCATCCTCTTCCTCCACCTCATCTGAAGACACAGTCTCCAGAGCCAGAGAGGAGCTTGAAGACAACTCTGTCCTCACTCGTCTCCTCTCCAACCGAGACATCTTCCCCATCATCCTCGGTTTCCTCGAGACCCGTTCTTTACTCTCCGTCACCTCCGTCAACACAAGATTCAGGCGAGAGATCTTAATGCCCGCCACTCCCAATCTTTGCTGCCTCAATCTATTCCTGCAATATCGTACCGTAGTCTGTCCTATGGCTCAATTCGAGAACCTAAAAGACTTCATGGTCAAATATCGGTCTTTCAAACCTCTGCACCTTCATTTCACTTACAGCGAACGCTCTAGCCTCATGTCCCTCGCCTCTGAGGTCACTGCACCGATCTATAACTCTAAACAGGACGCAACATTCCCTCACCCAACGTCCTCTCCCCTTTCAAGTTCCCATAATGTTAATCAGAGCATCAGTATCAATGTCACTAGTTCCTATAGTCTCTCTCAACATCATCATCCATTGACCCTGGAGCAACAGCAACAACAGCTACTCCAACAGTCTCAAAACCTGCCTCGACTTTTGAGCAACTCTTCGTCATCCCACACTAGTGGCCACACTAGTACTGATACTAATAGCGATAATAATACTATCAATATGACCAATAACATTCAACGTACTCTTGCCAATACCTCCTTTGCCTCCCCCTCCCCCTCCTCCTCTTCTTCCTCCTCCTCCTCCTCCTCCTCCTCCTCCTTTACCTCTACACCAAATACTACTTCTACGACTACCACTACGACTACCACTACCACTACTACTTCTTCTGCTACTTCTTCTGCTACTTCTTCTACCTCCTCTACCTCTACCTCTACCTCTACCACTACAATCCCTCAACATGCATCCATCGATCGTTTCGAGACGATGCAAATGACCAGCAGCAGCCGCACGAATAGTGCCACTACCGATAAATATGAGAGCATTGATACCGATAGTCGTAGCATCAACAGGTACAGCACTATCACCAGCAACAGTAACCCCAATAGCAATGGTGATGTCAATGAAAATGGCAAAGGCAAAGGCATTGGCATTGGCATTGGCAATGGCAATGGCAATATCCCTGCCATGATGTCAATTGAAAAGAACAAAGTTCAAGATTTGGTTCCTAAACTCGTTAGAACAAATGTTGATCCCCCTGCAGCTTCTGCTCATCAACAACAAACCTTTGATAGCAGTAGCAACAGCATCAACAGTACTAACAGCAACAGCATCAACAGCACTAACAGCAACAGCATCAACAGTACTAACAGCAACAGCAACAGCAACAGCAACAGCAACAGCAACAGCAACAGCAACAGCAACAGCAACAGTAACAGCGCTAGCAGCAACAGCCGTTCCGACACGTCCTCGTCTTTTAGCCTTGGGCAAAACTTTCAACCCAATCATAATCACAATCTTTCCAATCATACAGAAGCAATCCTTGTCAATTCTAGCTCATCCTCAACCATTTGTTCCTCAGCTCCTGTTTCGGACACCGTTACCTATACCTCCCGTGCTGACCATCCCTCAAAGGGATTCGAGCTTTCATATTGGCAAAAGTTTGCTCTGAATGAGCTCTTCATGCGTCTGCTGCCCTTCCTGAAAACTCTCACCATTGGTCGAACAGACAAACCCTCAAGACGGGCACGGACCCATGATCCAAACAGGGGTAGTGGAGAGTTATCTGCAGGAGTCTGTTTTTTCTTGGCAAGGTGTTTTAACGTGATGCACGACATGCCCGACACAGCACTCGAATCAGTCATCTGGATGGATGTCACGGTCAAGGATGTGGCCCTGTTGGTGACCATGATCGAGCTCAGAGATATCATGGTCGATGAACGTTATTGGAAAAGAGGCTACTGGGCCTCAGACCGGCCCCCGGCTCAGGAACAAAAAGTATCAGTAGTAAAAACATTTAGAGAATCCGAAACGGATTCCGAGTATGATGAGCATGATGAGCATGATAATGAAGAAGACGATGATAATGAGGATGATGATGAGGATGATTGGGATGGGTTCTATTATTTGATCAATCAAGAAGGAGGCATGGACACAAGGCCCGTTTCTCGTCACCCTGTGAAGAAGAGTATTTCATCTTTTGCTAGTTCCACCGCTGGCAAGTCACCTCAACGGAAATCCAGCAGTATGCGCTTTAGTCCATCTTCGACCCCATCCTCATCCTCTTCAAAACCATCAGTGGCTCCCTTGGCCTCCACCACCCAAGCATCGTCCTCATCCTCGCCCACATCACCATCCCTCTCAAACTTCTCGACCGTGCTGATCTTCCCAGGCGGTTCAGCCGCAAACAGACCGAGGCTCAACCCGAATATCCCCTCACCAGCTGCCTGGCAAGGATTTGGAGATGGTGTCACAGGCTCGAATGGAACCGATACCCTCGGCTCCTTCTTTATTGAGGAACAGGTACATCCCTCAGTACAACTTTATCAAAGCTTAAAGATCGAGATTGAGGACGCAGCATTTGTTTCACGCAAGTTGGACAAGGGCAAGTACCTGGCCACTATCACGGGGTTGACTCCTACTGTAGATCTCCCAGATCCTTGGGAATATGATAGCTCCAGAGCAAAAGAATTAGGTCCCATAAATTCTCTCTCACCGTAATCTTTTTAAATACACTCACATTCATATTCACACTCACACTCATATTCATACTCGTATTATACTCTCATTCCTACAAAGAAAGAAAGAAAAATATATATATATATATATATATAACATTTGGCATAAAGAAAATAATAATATAAAACAAAAATCCAACTTAATACATTTACAAAGACTATGCCATTTTTTTTTTTTTTTTTTTTTTTTTTTTTTGCACACTAAAAACCTTTACAATAACATGAATACCCACGTCAAATGAATGGGGTGGTTTTTTTTCTGCGAACTAATAGAAATCGGGAGATCCAAATTTAATGACATTCAAGCAATCCAAAAACAAACCAAATAAAGGGGGAGAGGGAGATTCAGATCGCTCTTTTTTTTTTTTTTTTTTTTTTTTTTTTTGCGAAAGAGGAATGACCTAATTTATTTATATGAGCCATCATTCCATTTTTCCCGAACGGCTAGAGCTTCCTTGAAGTCTTTTTTTTTTTTTTTTTTTTTTTTCCTCTGCTTTACGCGTCCGCTTCGGACTCTGACCAAAGTTGAAGGTTGTCACGCAAGAGCTGCATGATCATGGTCGAGTCCCCGGAAATGGTGTCTTGTTCTTCGATTGCGTCATCAAAGGCTTTCTTGGCGATATCGCAGGCCTCCTTGGGATCCTTGACGATCTCAAAGTAAAAGACAGAAACATTCAAGGCCAATCCCAGACGAATCGGGTTGCCTGGTACAAGATTCTGAGCCACCTCCGTTCCCTTGTTGTACCATGTCTTTGCATCCTCTGCTGCATTTGCATTATTGATTTCGGCAAGGTATCGGTAGTAATCTGCCTTCCTGGGTAGGTTTTTTATTTATTTTAAAAAAAAAAAAAAAAAAAAAAAAAAGTTATTTTCATACACTTGCTCATGTTCACGAACATTCAACGACGAGGAAAATAAAATAAAATACAATAAAGACCATACATTTTGTAATAAAACACAAGATTCTCGTCCTTATCCTTCTCTTCCACAAATGGAATGATATCCTCATCTAGGGTCCTAAAGACCTCTTTACAAGTTGTCATGATATCCTGTTCAACTTTAGCTTTGTAATCCTCGAGTGCCTGTACATAGTCTTCATTTCCAACTTGTTGTTGCTTTTCTGATATTGATGTGATCAGTCTGTGAGATGAACGATGGGCTCCAATTATGTTCTTGTACGCTACAGAAAGTAAGTTGCGCTCTTCTAACGAAAGTGGAGATTTGAGCTTTATATTTTTTTTTAAAAAAAAAAAAAAAATATAAAACCAGGAATAGGGAATAGGAAATAAAAAATAGAAAAGGTTAATAATAGGTCGCCAAATGCAAAGTCCATTAAAAGTTTTTTTTTTTTTTTTTTTTTTTTTTTTTTTACTTTGGTAATTTCTTTCAAGTGTCTTGCCATCTCTACGAATAAAAAATGCGAATAATTATAGATGTTCAGAGAGAAAGTCACTTGTAAAGTTCAGTTATAAAAAAAAAAAAAAAAAAAAAAAATGCTTCACCATCATATCGTTCGGCTTGTTCCGCAACCTTGGCCAGGAAGCCCTTATAGTCATTGATAAAGTTGTAGCATTGGAAGAAAACAATGAGTGAGTTAATCACGAAAATATTGAGACTATGAAAGCCGAGAGAGAGAACACAGGTTCCCCCCCACCACCCATTCTAAATTGCAATTGTGGTGGTTGAATCGGGTTATTGATCACCATAAGTTAAAACAAGCTAAGCTAGCTAAACTAGCTAAACTAACTTAGTTAGCTTTTTCTTTCGCGTCTTGATCTTTTACGTTCCTGATCCAATAACAAACAAGACAGCTTTCACCTTCCTGCATAGCAAAAAAAAAAAGCAAGAGGAAGAAGCAGGAGGAGATTGCTTTTGTACTCCCTTCTTTTCTATTTGACATGTGTTTAGGAACCTACAGTTGTCTTTCTGTCCTATTAGCATGCAGGGAAAGAAAAAAAGAAGTTTTTTTTTTTTTTTTTTTTATCAGTATGCTGCTGCCCTTTTGCATGTTGAAAAAAAAAAAAAAAAAAAAAAAGAATTGGCCAAGATAATGATAGCCTTGTGGTTTACTCCTTCCTTTCCCCTCATTGCTTCACTTCAACAATCTTCATGCACCATATCGAAGTAAGTTTTTTTTTTTTTTTTTTTTTTTTTTCTTTTTCATTTTCTTTTCAGAGGTCGTTATGCGTTAACTTACATAAGTCTTTGTCATTTGCGATTTTTATAGTAGGCGATATTCAAATATAAAACGGCTTTTGCTTAAGAGTAATCAGGAAGCTTTTTGAGTGCGACTTTTCTTGATTGGTAAGAGAACTTGGAGTTGGAAGTAGTGACGAGTTATAGGAAGAAAAGAAAAGAAAAGAAAAAGAAAAAGAAAAAGAAAAAGAAAAGACAAGACAAGACCAAACGTCTTTTTCTTTTATATGCTTATTCGGTCAGCCTATTGTTTTCTGAAAAGAAATAGAAAAACGCGCCAAAAGCCAAAAGAGGAACTCTAAGAGAGAGCCATCTAAAAAAACTTCCCTTCTCTTTACCGTCAAAGAGTATAAAGAGTTGAAAGGAGGATAGGTAGATGTGGATAGGAAGAGATGTAGTTTATTTTACTTTTTTTTTTATGCACCTGCAGAGCTTGCACTAAAAAAAAGAAAGAAAAAAAAAAACGCGTGATGGGATTGATGAACGGGACAGACAGACAAACAAACATTTATATTAGCAAATGATTCACCTTGCCCCCAGTCCCGTCCTCCTGGTTGGTGTACAGTACATCTCTATTACTACATTGATCCTGTGGTGTAATAATCCTATTTTTCTTGACGCGGATCTTTTTTTCTTGCATTTGGCCTCATGCACAATCATTGGAGGGGAGATTTTTTTGACAATAGGGCTGACCACATCTTCATTTTTGCTACTAGAACTGAGGAAAAACTTCATGTGTGTACCCGTCGGTTGTGGCCTTTTTTTTTTTTTTTTTTTTTTTTTTTTTCATCCGCGCTCGAGCCTTTGTCCATCTCATTGCCGAGGACTCTCCTTGCGCTCTTCATGGATGATGCGAGATAAAAATAAGCTAAAAGCATGATTTTCTTCTTTCATGGTATTATCACTCGGATTTTTTTTTTTTTTTTTTTTTTTTTTTTAAAAAAGAAATCAAGGGATAACAATTAAAAAAAAAGTGCGTGTTCTCGACGCGATTTTATTATAGATCTCGCTCCAAATGAAGACAAGGGAGGGGAGGATTTGATGTTGTACAAAATAACGCGCTTTCTTAGATTAATAACGTTTCTTGACCAGCGATGGTTTCCAGTCCAGAGGATGTGTCTCGGGAGTCTTGATTCCGATGAATAAATGAGAATTAAAAAAGCAAAAAAAAAAAAAAAAAAAAAAAAAAGATTAAAAAACACCTTCTCTTAATATGACTAAACGAGATAGGAATCAAGATAGACCTTTAAAAAAAAAAACTTACAGCTTGGTCATCCTCCTTCCAAATCTTAATTGTCTTGTCTGCTTCTCCAGTGATAAGCCGCAGTCCTGTCTTATCAAATTCTGCACAGAAGATACCTGCTTCACTCTCTAATGATCCTGGCTGTACCAATGAATCTAGTCTCTGGAATTGATATCCTGACTTCCAATCCCAAAAGCCCATAGCACCATTATCCGCTAAAAAAAAAAAAAAAAAAAAAAAAAAAAAAAAAAGTTGGTCAGTCATTAGAGTAACAATAAAGCCAGTGCTCCTAATCTAAAGCTGAGAAGAGATAATGCAATATAAACTGGTGAACTCAATAGTAATTACCTCCTGAGAACATCACATTGTCTGCGTTGACTGCCAATGCATTGACAATACCCCCGCCTCCAGTTACACCGCCTGGACCTTCAAAATTACGCATGAACTGGCCTTCTGGACATTTCCATTGCTTAATATTATCAGGACTTGCAGTTGCAAATGTAAATTCTGTTGGATGGATAGTCAGCGCACGAACACTCTTCTTATGGTGGGTCAATGTTGTCATGGTCTTTCCTGCTGCCAAATCCCAAAGTCTAACTGTGCTGTCCATAGACGATGTAATGACTTGAGGGTCTGCCTCCTGACACCTTACAGCGCTCACAGTGCCAGTATGTCCTGCCAAAACGTGAACAGCTTGCTTCGTTCGCATATCCCAGACCTATAAAATGGAACGCAAGAGTAGAAAGAAGCAAAGAAATAAATATTAATTGAAATAAACACATGATCCGTACACAAAAATATTATAAAACGACATAGTTTTACATACCCTGGCTGTCGCATCACGTCCAGAAGTAACAAGGACATCTAATGTAGGGTGAAGAGCCAGCGCATAGACACCACTGAGATGCCCATGGTAGTGACGAATGACTTTGTTTGTCTCTAGATCCCAGCACTTGACCATCTTATCATCACCAGCCGAAAACAGATATGGATGACGTGGTGACACTGCAAGTCCACGCACTTGTCCAATATGTCCTGTTAGCGAAAGTCGCAGTCTTCCTGAAGCCAAATCCCAAATCTTTGTAGGTATTTGGAAGATTGCGTCTAATGTTAATATTTTTTTTTTTTTTTTTTTTTTTTTTTTTGGAGGGGGAAGATGGGCCGTGGTACATAGTGCATTTCTGTCTTACCTTGATAATTCGATCTCCTGCACCAGTAGCAAACCAGGTATTTCCAGGCTCGACTGCAACACTTCTGACCCATCCTTGATGTCCTGAGATAACTCTCATCAGCTTCCATGGAGCATGCCAGTCTGGACGCACTGCCTTTGCCACAGGTCTGCGGACCAACGAACTACTGCCGCCAGGTGCATCAGGGAAAGGGTTATGAACCGTTGGTTTATGTTTGACTAATGCTGAGGATTGTTGCTGTTGCTGTGTTTTCTTGGGCATACCATCCAATATCTTTTCGACACCACTATCATCTGTGCCTGCACCTGTATTCTCAGATCCTGCTGAGCCACCTTTAGCTGCCTTCTTCTTTGCCAACTGTTCCTTCTGTCTCTGTAAGAGTGGGTATGGAAGGATTTCAACTTCTCTGAACTCATCATAGATCTTTGACTGCAGCTTGACGCGTTGACTAAAAGAATAAAAACGAATAGGTAAAAAGATGAAGAAAAGAAAAAGTTAACAGCTATTAAAAAGCCGAAGTAAAAAATAAAAAATGCTTTACTTTTCTTTTTTTCTTTTTTTTTTTTTTTTTTTTTTTACCTTGCTTGTTCTTCCAATGGGACAGCATAAATGTTTTCCTGGTCATCAGCAAAAAGTTCCCGCGTCCTCTTGACAGACCGTTGTAAGATAGTCTTCAGTTCAGACGTTGGTGAAGATTCTTGTGTTGAAGGTTCTGGATTAGATTCAACAGAGATCTCAGGTGTATCGCCTTCCATGACTACATCCTGTACATCAGCATCCTTCTTTGTCTTTCCTTTCGATGCTCTTGGTGGCGTCATTTTATTTGTAGTATTAATGTTGAGTGCTTGGACAAACTGAGGAGTGGGTCGAGAACTGATCAACAAGATCATCCAAGAAATTGAGGGGTATTTAATTTGTCTTTTCTGAAATGCAGCGCAAATTCCGCCGAAATTACGTCACATCTCCCAATATATGAAGGCGATTTAAAAAAACTCTTCAGAATCAAATCTTAAATCGGGTGGTAATATTAAGTTTGAATCAAAATATAATAGAAAATCATACTCAGAAAGTCATTGGGAGGGGGGTGTACATGCCAGTTGCTTTTAGGTGGCGATATAGATGACAGTCATCAACTTGACTAACTTTCCTTGAGATATATTGTTCATTTATATCCACAGCAATGTAACCAAAAGACTTCGCCTGTAACCATAGAAGATATAATCGAGCTTATTATTGCAAGGCACACGTTGATCACTTAAACAAAAATGATCAAAGGCAGATGAGAGCCTTATCTTTGAAGAGAGCTTCCTAGAACCCAACGCAAGCTACTGAATTGGTAAGCATTCTTCTACACAGCAAAACTGTAGAATGACATTGCATAATCTCGGGTCTTCATATTATCCTTAGCATCAATCTTAGCGAGGAAATGATCGAACCACTCCTTGGGAATAGCATACCCGTGACCATCCAGTCGTACTTGGTGGCATGAGGACTTTTAATTTGAAAGCTAGCAGCCGAAGACGGAAGCCGATCGGACAGACGAATTCTCATAAAGCATATCTGCATCCATTGTATTATTTGGGATCAAGCGTCTTCTGTCTGGTGGCCTTTAAACCCAAACATTAATGTCGTCCTGAGTTAAGCGATAAGGGTTTTAGATATCCAAATATACCCCCTGCTAAAATTTGGAGTCTTGCTTTCAAAGCATCATCCCTCCAAAAGAGCTTGGTCAGTGCTAGTTCAGGAAACGATACGAAGCCATGCCACATGGGTGAAACAGGAGGCAGCATACATCGAGAGCCAACACTTTGGTGGAAGCAAACAAAACCTTAGAAGATAGAGATATGGGTTAATGCCGATTTACACAGTGTCAGGTATAAGAGTCTTATTCATCTGTGTCTCAAATTATTATAATACACAATATAATGGTATAAGTGCAGCACACTTAATATTCTCCTTGATTTTGTCACAAAGGTCCAAGCAGCTTTGATGTAATACTTCTTGTATTAGACGCTTGCTTGCCTTGCTTTTTTATTCATCCAATTTAGGCGACGCCTGCCACATTATAGCTTGCTTCTTTCAACATTATCAGGGCCAAAGCTCACCAATGTTTGATTTCAGTTCAAACGGGCATCATCCAAGCCCATATCCTGTCTCCTTGAGGCCCAAACCCTGAAGCATAGTGCTTCATCTCTTGGGCGACAACTGCACTATTGGTAAACAGCATAAGGCTGACAGTGTTCAAAATGTAGCTTGCCCAAAATACATCAGCTCTGCTCTCAGGAAAAAAGTGTACGATTTAGACTGATATTAGGATATCGACGCGACAGATGGAGAGTATAATGTGATCAAAAATGTCTGAAGGCATAGGAGACTAGAAGGATAAGAGTACACAGGCTTTCTCCAGTAAATCTGTGACTGATATTGAGGAACCTTCATGAGTTTTCAAATAAAGAGGAAGAGTTGTGCTGTAGATTGCAGTGTTGTGCCATGGAAATCTTTTACTTTTTTGTCACATCACCGTAGTTGAACTCCTATATTATTTCTAAAGCACTTTGTCAAAGTCATCTTTATCAACGGTTTATTTTTTATAATTTCTGTTTGATAATCTATTCTATATTAAACGTTAACGATATTCCTCAGGCTTATCCTTATTATTCGCTCTTAAGTCCCACTGCAGACTTGACCTTTTCCTTAGCAGCTACAAGCTTGCCGGAGGAGATATGTGGCAAAGGAACAAGTCTTGGCCAATTAACATAATGGGCTCCGTTGGCAACCAAGAGCTGGAACATATAGGTGATGACAGCAAGCCAGAAGGATATAAACAAAATCACGGGGGTGCTGAAGTGATCTAAAAAGTCATTTATCGAAAGCAGATTGAGCAAGTTAGTGTCAAATTTCCATATCATATGCTGTGTCCGTGTTTTTATTTTTTATTTTTTATTTTTTTTACCTTCGGGAATAATAATAGCGCCGAAAATCATAATGATACCAACCAAGATGGCAATAGGCATGGCCTTCATCTGCAAGGTGCGCTTATCAACCAGAGGATAAGTTGCTGAACGGTCAACATCATACAATAAGAACAAGTCATATGCATCCTAAATACAAAAATAACATAAATATAAGAACGATAAGTATTAATGGGTAAAACATGAGTATCGTATGAGAGGCCTTTTTTTTTTTTTTTTTTTTTTTCTATACCTGGCGGTTTCCATCCAAAAAGTTGTTTTTGATATAGCGAACGATGGAATTCTGAAGATCTTGAAGAGCTCCGGCCTTAGTGCGGTTACCGGTTCTATGATATATATATATATATATACATATAAGTTATTTTGTCGACTAAATGTTTTCTTCTGTTAGCATATCCAATAGTCTAAGCAAAGTATAACTAACCTTGTGAAGTCAGTCTTCAAAGCTCCTGTACCAGAGTAGGCGCAGCTAATAACATCGGCATTGTCAGCCCAGACTATTTCATCATAACCAAAATAAGAATCACTTAGTACATTATGATTATCAAAGCCTTTTTTTTATAAAAATACAAAAATAAGTAACATACCATTGCGGAATAGGAGCTCAAAAGGCTCGAACATCTCAAATTTCTCGTCAGCACCTAAAATACCAATCTCACGCAGCTGGCGGTTCAAAACCCAGCGAGAAACAACCGATTGAACAACATTGGTTCTGTCGAGGCAGTCCATGCAGTTGGTACGAACAATCGATGTTTGCTGCTGAAGGACTTTTTCAGTACCATCTTTGCTGAACTCGGCCTTGAAATACCTATTTTAAGGAAATTTATCATGAACGATGTCAATTACAAGTAGCAACTAGAAAGTATTCCAGAAATAAACAAATAGAAGACATAGAAGTAGTATACGTACCCTTGTGACTGAAGCTCCTCGTTAAAGTGGTCAAGAAGCAAAGAGACACGATGCCATCTCATTTTGCTACACTCATGGTGGAAATCAAAGTGATGGTACTTGATATCAGGATCGTTCAAAATATCAATGTGCTTTTGGAAGGCAACACCCATCGGTCCCTCATAGCCCTTCTTGTTAATGAGGTTAATAACAAGCTGAGATCCATAGAGTTGCTTCTGCGTCTCAAAATGCTTACGGAACGAATTTTCCTGAACGTTTGAATAATAAATAGAGCGCGATAGAGGAAAGGAGAGAAGAAGAGCTCAGCGCAACCGTAACTTTGCGTACATTTTTAATTTGCCAAAGCCATCTTGTTAAACATACCGTTTCAGGGTCCTCAAAAATATGAAGCTTAGGGGTATACTTAATGTTATTAATCTGAGTCCAGTAAATAGGAATGGATCCACGAGTCTGGACATGAGACATGTATATCTGTTTTTCACCAGGAAGAGCTGAAGCAGTCGTGCCATCGGTGCCAGCATCCGCGATAATAATCTGCTCAGTCTCGTTAAAATTAGCGACATTTCCCTGAGAGTCTACACCACGGGTGAAATACCGAGTTCCAACACGATGGCGAGAGCGGCGAGAAATCAGTGCAAATGTAAACGCCTTTTTGTTGATCTCTGCTGATTTGATCTCTGCAAAGCCGTTGACAATAGGCAAAATGGATTTGGCCAACTAAAAAAATAATTTTAAGAAAAAAAAGTCAGCAATCAACAAAAAACTGGCTACATCTTATTTAAGAAAAACAAGACGTAGTTTGACGTACCGGTGAATCCTCATTTTCCGTCATATAAGTAATGAACTTGGTTTGAAGGCGTCTGTTCCAAAAGAATCTCTCATCAGCCTAATATGTAACAATTGAAGGACAAAGTAAAGTAGATGTCAGAAACGACTCAATATTTCTTTTTATGCCATTAGGTACTACAACCGATCTTCAGAGGCCGGCATATGATTAATGGCTGATATGCAATACTTACACGCTCATATATAGGCTTAGTGCTTTGTCTGAGTTGAGACTGACGCTGAAGTGTGTGGGTCAAGTCATACGTATACGAGAAGTGGAACTGCGCTGACTGGAGATGAGCATGGAGCAAAGACAGATATGAAGCCTCCTCTCCAACCTACAATAAAAAACGAACAAGTGAAATAGCAATTGATGAGTCACTACTTTACATCTTGTTCGAAAAAGGTCAATATTGAAACATAGTGGCTGCCTTATGATCCTGTCACTGTACCTGGGCTTCTGTCAACGCCATGTTGTTACGAGAGAGTGGGAGAACTTTGTAATCTTTAACCTTGTAGATATCATGTTCTCCAATGCGACCAACCTTTGTCCTGTCAGTAATAACAATCATATACTCGCCTTTTTTTTTAAGAATGAAGATATTTGGCAAATCAGTTTGATAGCATTCTACAAAAAGTAAATCCCATCTGTCATATCGTTCTAGTAATACCAAAAAACAAAAAAAAAACCCCCCTTACCAGCCAGGAGACGAGGAAAACCAATAATGCCATAGATGGTCATGGCCTCTGCTTCAGAGGAAGCCTTGGTTGGAGGCGCTGTAAACCGACAAAAAAGAAAAAGAAAATATATTAGCCAAGCGATGTTGCAATGATCAGGTTCTTCAAGGCATGACATTCTCAATTACTTTTCAAAAAAGCATTACAATTCACTTGGACATTGCCCGTGCTTCGGTCGATGACCACATTTTCTTTCACTGGGGAGCCATCTCTGGAGATGGGTTCGAGAGTGAAGCTGTCGGCGGTCGTATGACTATTTAAAGATAAAAAAGCTCCTTGTCAGTATCTGTATCGTTCTCTACAATAAGCATTAGATCCTGACCAGGAAATGTGTTCGATGCGACTTACAGTGTGATAGTACTATAAAGGGTCATTGTAGAAGGTAATTGAGTTAAGTGGATAGTGGATAGGGAAGAAAGTGAATAGTGAAAGAAGAAAACAAAGAAACAAAGAAACAAAGAAATAAAGAAGTAAAGAAATAAAGGAACAATTGAAGGCGAAGAGTGCACTGCACAAAGTGAAAAAAAAATCAAGTCAACAGTCAACACATGAAAAAGAACTCAAAACGAGAACACTGCACAAGCATATGGTGTCCAATGCGCTTTGGGTGCCATGCGATTAAGAGCATCCAGCTTTCTATATTAAACTGTTTCTATGCATCAATCTTCTTTTTTAACTTGCTCTTTCACGATGCATATTAGTCTATGTAGCATAAAGTACTCAATACTTTCAGTATCATTTAAAAGACCTTTTTGTGGACAAGAGTTGTCTATCTGTTTTTGTACATTTTGCACAAATATATCAATTCTCTGTGGCTCTTCATGCGCAAGGAGCTATCTTTATAATAGCCCAGAAGCGCCTAATTCCTCTCACTCCCATTGCTATCCATAGCATGTATAGAAATATGTATTTGTGAAAGCCTTCTGGAACCCAATCCTCCTATTCTAGTGCCTGATTCGTGAGAGCGTTCAGTGAGTTTGGGTTAAAGTGAACCAGATAAAAATACCCATTCAATAAATTTCTTAGTGCTTGGAGCATCGCAGTCCTGTTAATTATTAATGAGCACAACCGCTTTTTGATAGGCAGAACAGACAGTTTACCAGAAATGAAGTGACATCTATCGTCTCCTTGAATTTTCAGGCACAAATTTTTTTTAAATTGGACATGTGATAGTCAGCGCGCCAGATCGCCACTCGAAGGCTTTTCTCCTTCTATTCTTCTCTGTCCTGCTGTGCGAGCTTTTCTTGCTCTAAACACATATTGATAAAAGGCTTTAACCAGCACAAGTCAAAACAGCTTTGAGCGACATGTTGATGTTTCCGAGATCTCAGTCCCGCTTGAAAGCAAAGAAAGGCAAGGAAAGAGGAAAGCATGAAGTAAAAATAAAAACTAAAAACGCTTTGATCAATGTTGAATTAAATATGTATTCCGCTTTTATTAACACATGTATAGTTATGAATGAGGTTGTAAAAATGGAGTTTGATATATTTATTGAATTGAAATGAATAGAAAGTAAACTTGCCATAATGTCGATTTTCGACACTATGTCGAGAGCGCACTGTACTTGATGTCGTCTTCGAGTTTATAGTGGCTTAGGCCTGGTTTTGACTAAGCTGTTAGATCCTTTTCTCCACACTCGGCTTGGATATTTATGGCAATGGTCGAAGCGGCGAATGAACCCTTTTTCTGTGTATTATTACTTCAGCTATTTAAGCGTCCCTTGCTTTTTTTCACATCTGTCTATCTTTTGTTCCTCTTCCAATTCTTCCTTTTCTCCTGCTTTCTCTCTTATTAGAAAGACGCAGGTGCATTGCATTTCAAGCTTCTTATCCCTCAGGCTCTCTTGTCCTAGCAAATTTCAATGCCCCTGTGGTAACCCAATTCATCCTTTTGAAATAAAACAAACAGCTTCCCTTATCACGTCAAGCAAACCCCCATCTTTTCCATAATGCCTTTACCCCTGAGCTCCTTTGCCCGTACCGCCACTATTAAGCCGATGGCGCGCCAGTCTGCGCTCTTGGTTCGTTCCAGTCTGGCTCGTACCACGGCCCCTGTTGCCACTTTTATGACTGCTCGTAAAGCTTTTTCCACAACCACGGCAGCAAAAGACGATTTGCCTGCTGCCAAGGATGCCTTCCTTCAGGGCAACTCGGCCGGTTATGTAGAGGAGATGTATGCCGCTTGGCTTAAGGACCCTAGTTCTGTTCATCTCTCGTGGCAGATCTACTTTAGGAATCATTCCCAAGGAATGTCATGTTCTCAATCATTTCAATCAGCACCCACCATTCCTCCTAGTGGCGGAGTGCCAACTCTTGTTCCTGGTTCCCAAGTCGGTTCTTCGGATGTCATTGATCATCTCAAGGTCCAACTTTTAGTGCGTGCCTACCAGGCTCGTGGACATCATGTTGCCCGTCTTGATCCTCTTGGTATCAACAAGACCGATTTGGCAGCGGTCTCTCCTCGTGAGCTGGATCTAAACCACTATGGCTTTACGGAAAAAGATTTGGATCGCACTTTCTCCCTTGGACCTGGCATTCTTCCTGGCTTCCTTGATACTGGCAGCAAGAAGACATTGCGCGAGATTGTTGACCACTTGAGGACTATCTATTGTAAGTATCATCAATTATTTATAAAATTGGCTTTTGCCCAAAGTTCATTCATAACAGCCATTGAAGACTGAGGAATAACAGAAAAACGGGGAAAACCATGATGCAGGACATTAGCACAGACGCATCATACACTACACAGCAGTTTCAATAGAAAGGCAGTGACAAATTCAACAGAAAGCGATGAGTGACATTTCCATGACCAACATAATAACATTAATGGCAACGCATGGATGAGTGATGTTGGTTCCCAGCGGATGAGCCTGCGAATGAGTTGATTACGTCATCGGTGTATCTTTTGTGTGGCCATGACGGACTCATTTTTAGTTATACTGCGATCAAGAACCCAGCTGTGTCTTAAAATGATTTTTTCCATTAACGCTTTTTTTTCCTTCGGGTATTACTGTTTTTCCATTTCATAGGTGGCTCTATTGGTGTTGAGTACATTCATATCCCCGACAGAGAGCGCTGCGACTGGATTAGACAACGTGTTGAGGTTCCTCGTCCTTACAAGTATACCACCGAAGAGAAGACCATGATTCTTGATCGCATGATCTGGTCTGATTCATTTGAGCGTTTTGTCGCATCAAAGTATCCCAGTGAAAAGCGCTTCGGTCTTGAGGGAGGCGAGAGTTTGATTCCCGGAATGAAAGCTTTGGTAAGTAAACCGTAGACAGCATCTAGTTTATATATTATCATTATCATTATCATTATCATTATCATTATCATCATCATTATTATTATTATTATTATTATTATGATTACTATTATTATTATTATTATTATTACTATTATTATTATTATTATTATTATTATTATTATGATTACTATTATTATTATTACTATTATTATTATTATTATTATTATTATTACTATTATTATTATTATTATTATTACTATTATTATTATTATTATTAATCAATCATTTATTATTTGGGTCTACATAGATTGATCGATCTGTCGAGCATGGTGTCGAGTCTATTGTCATGGGAATGCCTCATCGTGGTCGTCTCAACGTCTTATCCAATGTTGTGCGCAAGCCCCACGAGTCCATCTTCTCAGAGTTCAGCGGCAACTCTGCTCAGGATGGCTTCTCTGGAGACGTCAAGTACCACTTGGGAATGAACTATAACCGCCCCACACCCTCGGGCAAGCCTGTTCACTTATCTTTAGTCGCTAATCCTTCTCATTTGGAGGCTGCTGATGGTGTCGTCCTCGGCAAGACTCACGCCATCCAGCATTACATGGACGATAAAGAGAGAACTCGCTCACTCGCTGTTCTCTTGCACGGTGATGCTGCTTTTGCAGGACAGGGCGTCGTCTATGAGACCTTGGGGTTCATGGATCTCCCTGCTTACTCGACTGGAGGTACTGTCCACATTGTTGTCAACAACCAGATCGGTTTCACTACTGACCCCCGCTTCGCTCGTTCGACTGCTTACTGTACCGACATTGCAAAATCGATCAACGCTCCTATCTTCCATGTCAATGCTGATGATGTCGAGGCTGTCAACTTTGTTCATCAGTTGGCTGCTGACTGGCGCAAGGAATTCCACACCGATGTTGTTATTGATCTTGTCTGTTACAGACGTCATGGACACAATGAGACTGATCAGCCCAGCTTCACTCAGCCCATCATGTATAAAGCTATTGAGCACCAGCCTCCCGCCTTGAACAAATACATTGATAAGCTCATCGAGGAGGGCACCTTCAAGGAGGAACAAATTGATGAAATGAAGAAGCGCATCTGGGACATTCTTGAAGAGAACTATTCCAAGAGCAAGGGTTACAAGGCCCAACCTAAGGAATGGATGACTAGCTCGTGGCATGGATTCAAATCTCCTGCTGAGCTGGCTACAGAAATTCTTCCCACGTTCCCCACTGGTGCTGCTATGGAGACCCTGAAGCATGTTGGAAATACCATTAGCTCGTATCCTCCTGGCTTCAAGATTCACTCCAATTTGGCCCGCATCATGAAGGCTCGTGCCAAGACCATTGAGACTGGCTCCAACATTGATTGGGCCACTGCCGAGGGCTTGGCTTTCGGCACTTTGCTCTCAGAGGGCAAGCACGTCCGTTTGGCTGGTCAAGATGTTGAACGTGGAACTTTCTCGCAGCGTCATGCTGTCCTTCACGACCAGGAGACTGACAAGCTCCATGTCCCTCTCAAGAATATTAGTCACGGCCAAGCTGCTTTCTCAGTCAGCAACTCGTCACTTTCCGAATTTGGTGCCCTTGGCTTTGAGCTTGGATATTCACTTGTCAACCCTAACTCGCTTATTCTCTGGGAGGCTCAATTCGGAGACTTTGCCAACAATGCTCAATGTATCATTGACCAGTTCATTGCCTCTGGAGAGAAGAAGTGGCTCCAACGTACAGGACTGACCATGCTATTGCCCCATGGCTATGATGGACAAGGTCCTGAGCACTCCAGTGCCCGTATCGAGCGTTACCTCCAAATGTGTGATGACAATCCCAATCAGTTCCCGTCGGAAGAGAAGCTCTCGCGTCAGCACCAGGACTGCAACATGCAAGTGGTCTACTGCTCCACTCCTGCCAACTACTTCCATGTCCTCCGTCGCCAGATTCACCGCGACTACCGCAAACCTTTGATCGTCTTCAACTCCAAGTTGTTGTTGCGTCACCCTATGGCTCGCTCTTCTTTGGAGGAGATGACTGGAGATACTCGGTTCCGGCGCTTCATCCCTGAGGCTGATGATAAAAACCTTGTTAGCCCCGACAAGATCAAGAAGCACATTTTCTGCTCTGGTCAAGTCTACTATGCCTTGGTCAAGGCTCGTGAGCAGAACAAGATTGATGATGTGGTTATTTCTCGCGTTGAGCAGTTGAGCCCCTTCCCCTATGACAGAGTCAAGGAGTACGCTGACAAGTATCCCAACGCGGAGATTGTTTGGTGTCAAGAGGAGCCTCTGAATATGGGCGCTTGGGCCCATGTTGCTCCACGCATCCGTACCTCGCTTCGTGAGACTGCCAACCATGCTAACAAGGAAGTTCGTTATGCTGGTCGTGAGCCTTCTGCTTCTGTCGCCACTGGTAACAAGAAGGTTCACTTGGCTGAAGAGTATGCCTTCCTGGCAGAGGCATTGACTGGTGAAGCCAAGAAACCCGCAGATGTTGTTGGAGGCGTTCCAGTTTTCTAAAACTCTAAAACAAAGCAAAAAATATAGTAATAATTAGATTCAGGGGGTCGAAATCAGGACACATCGTGTAAATAATGCCATTTAGAAATTTTTATGAAGTACACAATTAAAATGAACGACGACAGGACAAAAAAACCAAATTAAGAATTATTTTTGCAATCCTCAAACGTCTGGTAATTGTGTGGCGCAACGCATTGGGCACAATTCTGTCCTTGATTAGACGCCATGTTACGCCATGTTTCGAATTAAGAAAGAGTGGATTTTAATAGTTTTTGGTGTGGTCAACAAGCAGATCTTTGTATTGCATTCATTGATCCTTCAATCACCTTTCCCCTCACCTCCTTACTTTTTTTTTAAGCTACTATCCCTCCCCTGTCTTCCTCCCCTGTCTCCTTTTGTTGTAGGAATTAAGTGCAACGGCTGATGGTCTAAAGATACTTATTCTTACTTCTGATCAATCAAAATGTGTTGTGTACGAACAATTAAGATAAAAAAAAAAAAGCTTACATTATTTATCGAGTCAAGTCACATCTAGCTATGAGAATAACTCTTGATCATCTCATCCATACTTTTAAGACCTTAAATGAAGGGTATTTACCCTATTGTTTACAAGAGCAGTTTTTTTTTTTTTTTTTTTTTTTTTTTTTAGTTTTAGCATACCTCATGATTGAGCATGTGCTCCTGGATGTAGGGGAGATGTTCAGATCGCAACACATTCACCCGCCCCTGGAGGGGCCCTGCGAAGCATTGAAGAGTTACAGCATTGTGTAGTATTATGATTTTCATTGCCGTTTGTCGTCCTCACACGAATAGGCATAGGCAGTAGCCAACACGAGTATTTCCCTTGAGTTTTGAGCCATGTGTTGCAACTTGCAAAACTGGCTATGAAAAAAAACTGTTGGGAGCGTCCAGTTTGGCTTTTAGTTGCCATCCTCCAATGGTCCAACCTCTCTCGAGGAAGAGCAGCGAGCCAATCCAGTCAGATCTCATAAGAGCTTTCACACTTTTATTTTCTACTGAGCTGAACACACCTATTATGCAGGATGTCATTCATACCATTACCATTCATAACAAGCATAACATACCAACCATACCGAAATACCATTCATAAAACAATCCCTTCATACTTCCCATAGTTGTTACTACAATTACCAGAGTTAGTGGGAATGGTAGGAAAAAAAAATATTTTTATGCTCACGGTAACAGACTTCGCCTGCCACTTCAAAAAAGTTGGTTCCCTTTAGCTATCCCAGTCCAATGCGGATTACGATCCTGACCAACTGACCAACCCATCCGTCCATGGGACATTATTCACACATTCAACCCATCAACATTACATTATATTATTTTTATTCCGTTTAATCGGCTCTCATTCATTTTTCATTGTAAGCGCGCTCTTGCTCTCTATCTCTTTTTGTCTTCTGTTTTATCTTTGTCTTTGGTCTAATTCACATCTAGTTTGTCAAGGTTAAATTGAGTTGAATTGAAGGGATTGAAATGATTTGAATTCCACCTTCTCCAAAAATATGCTCTGCTAGTTCCCTTCTTTCTGTCTTGTTGCCTCTTCTTTCTCTTTCTCTTACCCCTCTTATCCCCCGCATCCTCTTTTTCTCTCCATTAGACGTCTATTGTTTGTTTGTGTTCAAACCTCTCTTTTTTTTTTTTTTTTTTTTTTTTTTTTTTGGATTTCATCCAGACGTGACATGACAACAAGCACCACCTTTGAGCCAGGGTCGGAGACAATTCATGAATCTAGACTGTTCATGGACGGGAAACCACCCTCTCTTGATGCTTATTCGCCTTCTTCCTCATATGTCTCTTCTTTATACTTTTCCACAACCACGTCCCCTGTTGGGTCACTTCCATCAGCGACCTTGCTGGGCAGTCCACGTGAAACAGAGTTTGGCGCGGTTGCTCTGCTAGTCCGGTTAGGGACTTTGGTCACAACCGAAACTACGAACACGATTCCTATCACACGCGCCAATGTCTTAGATGGTAACAGCAATAAAAGCAACAGAAATGGATGTGGTGATATTAATAGCAGTAATAGGAGAGATCAGAGAAACGGGTCAATAGATTTCTTGATGTTGTCTGACCACCTTGGTGGATATATCGATATCATCTCATCTCAAGAATCGACCTTCATAACTCCTCCTCCTAGTCCTTCATCAATATCAACGTCGAGTCGAAGCAATATTGACCCATCAATAGAACAGCATAAAATCATCACCTCCTATGTTCCTATTAGTACGCATAATACTGATCCTGCTGCAACATCACTATCAATAATAATACCAACAATAGAAGTAGCTGCAGGAAATATAACAACAAAAACAGCAGCAGCAGCAGAAGGAGTAGAGGCAGATCTAAACAGACGCAGGGGAAAACCTCTGCTGCAGCTGCAACAACTACAGCGACAACAAGCACAGTACCAGCAGGAAAACGCAGGGGCGGGCATGTTTGCCAAACGTGATGGTGATGAAGAGGAAGATAAAGAGGGCCACCGGGATCAGTGCCGGGATAATATGGTAGCAGGCTCAAATCGAGAATGTAATAGCGGTATAAGCCTTGCTAATGAAGATTCAGACATGACCTCTCCAACTCGACATCCGAACGAATCATTACCCAATTCCGCTTCAACAAGAAGAACAACTGCCTCATCTGGATCAACAACGCAAGGACGCCGCAAGATTGCAGAATCAAGCATGATTCTCGGTGGCGGAGCTGGCACATCGACCATGTCTGGCAATGGAGGAGGAGGTGATGGATCGCTCTCTCCAGCTTGGTCCATGACCTCGATCCCTCGAGATATAAGTGCTTTCTATGGTCAACATTACATGGAGCAAGGAGGAGTTACAGAAATTACTCCAACAGCACCGGTGGACGAGACGCTCTATGGTCTTGTTGATAGGTAATTTTTTTTTGACATAATCTGTTTGTTTGACGAGTTGAGTTAAAAAAAAAAAAAAAAAGAAAAAAAAAAAAGCACTAGCCTCTGATTCATGCTTGTACATGGCGTGCTGTAGCCATTTCAAAAGCTCTACTAACGAATGTGTCGCTATTTTTACTTTTGTTCCATCTTTTATGCTTTGATTCTCAGATACGGTTTCTTAGTCGAGGAAGGACGGACACCGACAGCAGACAGGGATAGTGCACACTCCTCCACGCCATCAATGTCGCGAAGGTCTGTGCGAGCATCGATTGAACCCAAGTAAGATTGAAAGTGTAGATAGTCACTCATGAGGAGTATTTTTTTAGACTATTAAACTAATATATTTTGGACTATGATTTTAGTCTCTAAATGGCTGCAAATTCTCTTTTAAACAAAGACATATCTGAGCTAACCAAAGTTATATTACCATTATCCATTTACATCTCTTTATATCCAGGATCCACGCAAAAATGATTGAGAAAGAACAGGAACGGAGCCTGAAGTGGGCCAAGATGGCGCGGCAATATACATCTGCTGCAATGGAGACCGAATACACGTTTACCAACAACTCAAAAGTAATATATACCTGGATGGAACTGCCTTTTTTTTCTCCCTTCAAACAATATCCTGAGGGTCCTCAAACTGATTACTGACAGGAAGAGGCATATTTCGATTGCGTTATATAGTTCGTTAAAAGGGTTTACAAAGGCATTCCTGATTGTTGGCGAGCAGCAGCATGGTAACTTTTTCATAGACGAAATGTTGGAAATACGTCTTGATCAACTGATTGTCTTCCTCACAATGTCAACTTGATCATGTTTTTTTTAGGAGCTTTCTCATCACCAAGCGATCGTCTGGCTTTGAGCCTAATATCCGTCAAATATACCATGTATGACAGAATACAAGGAAGGAGCTACTGCTAATTAATATGAATTAATCGCTAAATCGACGCTTCTTGGTTTTTACTCGTCTTTTAATAGAATATGTTGGAGATTTCTTCACCAGAAGAGGAGCAAATCGATCTTGACATCCCACGGTACGTTTTTTTTTTTTTTTTTTTTTTTTTTTTTGTTTAAAAAAATTTAAAACTTGAGTAATGATCAGCCTATGCATTCCTTGCGTTTTTCTCTCTTGTTATCGATACCAGGACGATGCACGGTCATATCATGTTCAGAACGCGCTATGGTCCAGGGTAAGCTTTCATCTATCTTCTGTAATATTTTTTTGCTATAGATTATGATCTGCTTATAGTACTTATTTATTTAATCATATTGTCATTTTTAAGGCAATGTTCACTTTTTAAGGTGTTGAAAGCGTACTCCAACTACAACCATTGCGTCGGGTATTGTCAAGGCATGGCTAGTATTGTTGCAACTATGCTGACATTTTTCGATGAAGAGGTAGGTGCTTGATATAAAAGGAGAATCTTTTGGAGTGCAGAGATAGAGGGTTTCACAAACATGTTGACATTGCTGTTTAACGTTGCACAATAACTTTTTTTATTGTAGAAAACCTTTGTGCTATTGGCGCAGTTATTCAGTCGATACGGTATCAATGATTTAGTTATCCCTGGATTTCCAGCACTGTTTGAAGCATTCTATATTCAGGAGGAGCTTACAAAAATCTATGCACCACGCGTTTTCGAAGCCTTGGTGAGTAACGTGAATTAAAGGGTATAGAGTAGAAGTTTATATCTTTGTAAAGGGTCTCACAAAGGATTTGCACTCACCTATTCAGATTATTTCGTTCTTCCTGACCACTAGCAAGCGATGGGTATTGCAACAGCAAGTTACGCATCACGCTGGTATATCACTCTTTACTCCGCAGGTGTTGTCCCACATCGTACATTGCTTAGGATTTGGGACGTTTTCCTGCTGGAAGGCTTTGATTGGCTTTACTTCATGGCACTAGCTCTGTTGAAGTATTATGAATGTAAGTGCCTTTTTCTTGTGTCACCATTTTTTTTAAGTAATGGAAGATCTCTTCGAAGTATGGATCCACTGAAAGTTTGCTATCTCCTTTCAATATTAGCATCATTGATACAAAAGAATTTCGAACAGACGATGGAGAAACTGAATGCAAAGATGGATATTCAGGATGACGACCTCTTGTTGAAAATTGCCCAGAAACTACTTAAGCAAGCACGACAGACGGGCATTGTAGCCAAGCTTAGGGCGAGATATGCTGCTAGTCAACAGAGGACGGCTAGTACCGCCAGGCCAACACCGGTCGCCTCATAGCAAGGAATACAGTTCAAGCAAACAGAAATGACCTCTCGACCCCTTGACGACGACAGGGGTGAAGAGAGAATAAGATTCCCACATTATTATTTGATTATGACACTAATGCGTAACATCTTAATCCTTCTACCTAATTATTTTCTTACTACTCACTAACTTTTATGCCATCACTGCAAGAGTTTTGATTATGAAACGGTATCGACCTAGTTATTTTTTAATTTTTTATTTTTTTCTTGCCATTATGTTCTCATGTCCCTATTCCTGTTAACCGTTGACACCTCAACTTAGCCATGAAAAGTCAATCTATCGATAAATTTTAATAGATTAAAGTAACTTAATATTTATTTAAATGAGCACCATGCTTTTTATGAACAAAAACGGTGGCAAAACAGGGGTCTTATTACTTGATCATAAAATTGAACTTTTTTTTACACCTGACTGTTGGTCAAGCTGTAGCTCGATTATAAAACCCTGAGCTCAGCATTATTTCTACTCTGGTATGTTTCCTATCCACTAAAATTAAAAATGTATCCAAATCGAATCAATAGCAAGGCAAGTCGTAGCACGAGAGGAACAAAGACTGGGACGAAGGATCGACAAAGTGATCCCAAATCAACTAGGACAAAACGTCGGATATCTTCTACTTCTTCTATTGCTTCCAAACGCTCAAGGGTGGGTCTGACTCTTGAAAAAAATAACGATAGTGACTATGGCGCAGATTCAGATGAAGAAGACTCAGAGAAGGAGATCAAGACCGTGAGGGACTACGAAGACGCGGTTCGGCGCAAGATGCTTAATTCAACCACACATCGATACGACGATGGTACGGAGCAAGATCTGTTGGTTTACTCTGCCAGTTTAATGATGTCCCCCTTAGAGCTCCAGCCTCAGCCCCAGGCACAACGGCTATTTGAGCAAATGAATCTGGAAAGCAGTGATAGCATGAACGCCTCATTATTGTTAGCATCACCGCCTAGAGTGATATACAGCTTGGGGACGTTTTGTTTGCATGCAATCGTTAAGGATTTTAAGCACTTGGCCTCAGATTCGGCTGCACAGGAGAACCGAAGAGAAAGAGAAAGAGGAAGGACAAGTGGTGCACATTTCCGGAAGCAGGTCCAGCGGATGCCCTTCTATCTATCCGCAAGGCTATTCAAGGCCTTGAAGCATGCTAGCCCCGAGCTTTTATCGACCAAAATCTGGACATCTCTGTTTTTTCCATCGAATCAAGAAACAGAATCGCCATTCAATGGCGCTGATGGTGGTAATGGCGGTAGCGGTAGTAATTGGACTTATTACATCACTGATCTAGACCTTGAAGGTTTGATCCCGTCTCAAGTGACGGATTCAATCCTTCACAAACATATACTTCAAACTCTCGGTTTGGGGCCACAGCTGGAACGGGTCAACTTGAATGGGATGGACAAGCTCTCAGATAAATTCCTGGGACAGTTTGTGAGTGCTTGTCCATCATTGAGGAGGTTATTACTCAAGGGCTGTACTAAGGCAGGTGACCAAATGTTGAGCCAGCTACCCTCCGAGTCGTTACAAGAGTTGAACATCAGCTTTGTAGCCGCAGCGACTGCCAAGGGGATCAAGCACATGTTATGGCATTGTCGGGAATTGAGGGTTCTCAAGTTGGCTGGCATGATCAATATTAGAGACACGATATTTCTGAATCTGGAAAAAGAGTTGGCGGCGCAAGAGCCAGAGACAAGCACAGGCAAAGGCAAGGACAAGGACAAGGACAGCTCATGTGCTGCGTTGCCATTGCATACACTTCAGAATCTAAAGATATCCATGACAAGTTTGGGTGATCGCGGGTTCAAAATCCTGATGAGTCTCTGTGGCAAGACCTTGAAGCGATTAGATATCTCATCGACTGAGGTTAGGCGTCTAGCGCCCCTCACTCAATTTTGCATTTTTGAAGACCAGTCAACAACAACCTCACCTAGCCACAGGACGACATGTCTCGAGAAACTGAACCTGACACGACTCAAGTTATACTCGCCGAACGATGTCTTGACATTTTTCAAAAAACTTCCGCTTAATAGTCTCCACACTTTGTTAATGGGATATCTTACATGTGGCGATATTCCTATTGAAGATGGGCTTTTGTATAAGCTTCTCGAACCACTGATTATACACTCTTCTATTACCAAGATACCATCATCAAATGGTGATAGTGAGGAAAACAATCAACCATCGCCGATACTATCAAACTCAGTAACGCTACATTCGCATCCAGATGTATTTTTTGCTCCTGTAGCCGTTCCTCCGGTTGTCCAGCGCACAGAATACCGCTTGCATACCCTTTCGCTTTTCGGGAATTCACAAGTTGGCAAATCTCGATTCCAGAACCATTGCCTGCATCTACTATTCCAGCATCTCTCACCGTTTCTGAGGCGCCTCGAGCTTGGATATACGCAAGTCAAGGCACCTATTCTCAAAGGACTGCTTCCGCTTGAACCAAATCAAGTAAATGTAAGCCTTCAAGAGGTGAAAGTATCATCAGAGGGCGATTATTTAGCCGATAACTACACACTTGTGGAGTTAGGATTAGATGAGACACCGATGGGGGATGACGCCGCCATAGTACTATCACGTTTCCGAGGACTAAACCGGTTGTCGTTAGTCAATACAAGGATGAGTAAAGAGGCGGTTGAGGAAGTGATCAAGGCATGTCCGTTGTTGACCAACTTGGACTTGAAAAGCTGTCGAGCCATTCCGATCCTGCATCGGCGCACACTTTTGAAAGAAGTTCGACAGCAGACGGCGTCACACCTAGTCATAGAGTGAGAGGAGCGATAGCAACACTAGCATGCTGTAAACAGAACAGCAACTGCTACTAATTTATTCAGGTGCTTTTTTAATAACAAAAGAATAATAAAAAAAGAAGGCTAAATACTGCCAACCATATTTGAAGAGGTGTTCCTGAGTGCATCAGTTACCGTTAATACGAACAATCCTCAAAGTAGTTGAATAGTAGCGACAAAGAAAATTGTGCTTACCAGGAAGTCTAATTATCAAATAGCTACTGAGTAGCACATTGTCTTTCCATTCGTACTAATTACATGATTAACTATTCGTTATTGTATTACTTAGTCTTTATGAGTTGCTTCACGAGTCAAAACAGCAACAATCAACGCAAAACAAACTACCGTGAAGTCGCTTGAGATCGAGTTAGGAAGGGAATCAAAATATCGTGACATCTTCTACAAGTGGTCACAGAGGAGTGCAGGTAAGCTACTCTAAGGGTCTGGATAGCATTCTCTCATTTACTCATTCGTTCGCATAACAGGCATATAATTACTTGACAACGTTAAAAGTATGCATGAATATATTTATCGCCTCTGGATATCATCTTCATTCTCACAACTAAAGTCTGAGGAACTTTTTTTTTGCTCCAATCTTTTTGTTGTAAACAAATCTGCTCTTTTTTTTTTTTATATATATTTTTTTATTGTTGCCTTTTGCCTTTTGCCTTTCGACTTTTGTCTTCGCTTTGCTTTTGCTTTTTGCTTTTGCTTTTTGCTTTTGCTTTTAGAATATGGAGCCAGCCATGCGAGAGATACCTCGACTCATCAATCCGCCCATGAATCCGCCAGCGGCGGAGCCTCCCAATACGTTGGATGCAAATCCGGATGCCCACTTCTGCTTCGCATCCTTATCGCATTGCGTGTATCCAATCACGTTCGCAAAGTTCAATGCCAACGCAACAGCTACAATCAAAAGCCACATCAAGCTGAAAGTCAAAATGCATATAACACCAAAGCCGATCCAGATCATCGGTGCCACGTATAGACCTGTCCAGAATAGACGAGAGTCAACAGGGTTGAGAGGACGGTTTGGCTATACATGTAATGTATAATTGTATCAATTAGACAAGGGATGAAATTGCGAACAATCGTTTAGAGAGTGCAGGAGGGGAAAAAAAGAAAAAGAAAAAAAAGAGAGAGCAAGAAAGGTAGCTTGACTTACATCGCGTGACTCGAAAAGCCAAGTGGTCGTGCCATCCTCTTTATTCTCGCTCCACCAGCGAAGACCCACCAAAAGACGTCCTGAGACATTCTTAACAGTCCAGAAATCAAAGACCAGCATGAGAACGCATAGCACAAAGATCAATACAAAGTTTTCCGTGAACCATGTCCCGAAAAAGTAGATGCAAATAGCCGCGATACGGAATAGGAAATGGAATATGAGACAGATTGGATGGCTACCATAGAGATGTCAGCATAAAGAAGAATGGAGTAATAATAAGAAAATATAGGTACAGTAATTAGCAACCTATGGCAAAAGCTATGAATATATTCCAAAGAATAGTATGAAAGCAACGCCCTTATTGTATGCCATCAGCAGTCCATGTTGTTGATTTTATTTATCAAAACATTTACTTGCCCATTTCAACGCTGCTCCTCTCGTCCTTGAAGAGAATAAAATAAAATAAAAAAAAGGTGCTTATTCCAGCCATTGGTGTTCATTTCCATTTTCTTATCTAGCTTTCCTGTCCCTTGCTAGTTCTGCCTGATCTCTATTGCTGCTCACTTTTCTGTTATTTTAATAAAGTAACACTGTAATGCACATCCTTCTCCTTCCCGCCACGTTGTCTTTTATAGTAAGGACATGAAGCTAATTTACCTATTCTATTTAAAAACATACCTTGATTGCTTTAAAATCGAGGGTTGGCCGCCAGCTTCAAGATCTGGTTCTAGAGTATTCATGTTAGTGCCCATGGGTTGTGCATCCGACAGCAAGTTCTGTCTGTCTGTTGTTGATGCCTACAACTCGCAATGCCATCAATGAATGGATGGAGAAAAAAAAGAAAAGAAAGATCTTTTAATCAGCTCGCTCCACGTTGTACATTTATCTGTCGACAGAATAAACGATATCAAAAACAATATTGACATGCTCCTGTACCATTGTATATAAATATAGAAACGTATGCTTTTACTGTCTGTGTTGTTACTGTTATTAGTATGATATCGGTATTATCAAGAATTCTCTGACTTGTATTGCTGGTTATCGAAATCCTGGGTAAGTTTTTGACAATCCACTGAGATGAATGAGTGATGAATGAGTGATGAATGAGTGATGATGAACACGATGATGATTCTTTTGATGCCTTGGCTTGGCATCACATCGAAATTTAGGGCCCTACACACAAGTCACATCAAAAACGCGTTTTTGAGCCCAAAAAGATTTTATGATTTTGCAAGGAAACTAAACCCCTCTGTCTTTTTTTTTTTTTTTTGAAAATATGGAAATTGTATTTATTAAGGGAAGATGTTTGTTTCTCTATGCTGAGAATATTTCATTTAAAGACTCGCCAAAGCGAATCATGGCTGTTTCCATTTGCTCAAAACTTGCATAGGCAAATGTGGCCCTTAAATAGGTTGCCTGACCATCAAACCAGCCTCCAAGTGGATCTGCAGGATCAAAGTCCGCAGGCTTAGGTTTGCAGCTGAACTGCCATCCTGGAACCAGCAATACATTGTTTTCGATACACTTGTTAAACAATCGAAGCATCAATGCCGAATCCGATACAGTTCCATACTGTGGATGATGCTCTAGATGGATCTTGATCCAGATAAACATGCCTGCAGATGGTTCAATAAATGTGGCGAGCTTGGAGTTAACATGGCGCTGGAAGCAGGCTTGGAGATGGCGAGATCGGTTCAAGTACTCTGTTCGGACATTCTCGGTTAAATAGCGGTTGTAACCTTCTTGGCCCCAATGCGAGACCAGCATCTCGGCCAGCAGCGTTTGAGAGAATCCACTAGGCTGCTGAGTTGTCACCTCATTATGGTTTTGGACAATAGTACAGAAATGTGCGTTCATGGACATGTATCCCACTCGGCATCCTGGTGCCAATGTCTTGGAGAAGGTGTCTAGGCGGATAACACGACCATCCGTGTCCATGGACAGCAACGAGGGCACCCAACCATTATCCACATTGAACTGTAGGTAATAGTAAGGGTCATCTTCAATCACAATAAGATTATGCTCCTGAGCCACTCGCATGATGTCTCGTCTCCTCTGAATTGACATGGTCGATCCTGTGGGATTTTGACCTGTAGGAATCACATAGACAACACGAGGCTTTGCTTCCTTAGCTTGATCAGGAGCAGATCCCCAATTATCGAGCAAATCCTTCAATGCAACTGCGGACATTCCCTCTCCATCCATAGTCACTGGAATATGGCCCACTCCTAGGGGATCAATCATTTCAAGTGCCGCAGGGTAAGTCCATTCTTCCACTAAAATCTTTTCGCCTCGATTGCACAGCATCGCAATCGCCTTTGAGTACGAATCTGTATTGCCCGCACTAAGGAGTACATCCCAGTCTTGGTACTGAGGGCGATGCATCTGATTAATGTGTTCTTTGCAAAATTCACGCAATGACTTGATTCCTGTTCCAAGACCATACTATACCGTAGTATAATCAAACAAGGAAAAAAATAAGGAATTTTAATTTGAGTGACAAGAAATAGTCTCCATTGGAAAAGAAAAAAAAAATACGATTGGTTAAAATTCGTTTCACAAAAGTCTCTCATTCATTAGTACCTGCAAAGAAGCACTCAAGCTCTCAACTTTTCCGGGCTGTGGTCCATGAGGAACGGTGACAAGGTCGGAGGTGGCGGAAGAAGTCTTGCCAGAAGTATCATTTAAAATGGTCGGTGCCACGCTCTTGATTTCGGCCGAGAGTGAGTAGAAAGGGAAGGTTGAAGGGTGAGGCAGACCTATAGATCACACAGCACAGCAGCAACAATGTTAATAACATAAACACCAATACTTACACCACCGGTAAATAACGTGCACATGCATGTATGTTTTTATTGCCGTCGAAATATAAAAGAACGTATCAGAGAAAGAATTGAATTGGATTGAACATTTACCTCCTCCAAGCGAGACCATGTCGCCTTTCATGAAACGAAGTAGACCCTTGAGAGGACTCTTCTTGCGAGAGGCGCCCTCGGCGGAGAGGAAGGAGGAGAAATCCTTTGCCATGGGCAATTGAGAGGTGATTCCAATAGGGGCCATTTGGATGGATATAGTAGAATAAAAAAAAAATTATATAGAAGTTATATTGTCAGTTGCAGAAGGTGGGCAGAGAAGGGGGAAGAGAAAGAGAAGGAGAGCAGAGGAGAGGAGAGGAGAGAGAAGAAGAGAGAATTGGTGGATTGAGCTTTATTTATACTTGAGGATAGTTGACAAATAAACGATTAAGTTTTACTCTAAGCAACCTTAGGCATCCGATGAAAAGAGTGCTGTTGCTTTCTTTTTTGTTTTTCAAAAAAAAAAACAAAAGTGTACCGTACGAGTGTAGTATCGAGCGGGACAATCTACCCAACCACAATCGTCTATTTTATTCATTTGTTCCCAACAAATATGCTTAGCTGACATTCCCATTCTAGAGCTCTAATAAAAGCCATGTTTTCCTGATCCGTGTGACAGTAGTAATATATTAAATTTTATTCAGAATTTTATCGCTATGAACACATTGATTCCAAAGCATGACATGGCACCCATCGCTACCCTCCTTGTATATTTTATTATTATTGTTTTATCTCATCTTTCCAACGATCTGTTGACAAGGAGAGTGTCTAGACCAGTCAAACGCTCTCGTGGGCGTTATTGATTTTGCCATTTCGCCTCTCGCCACCTTATGTTCTACCGTGGCTTGTAATAGAGGCAGAAAATGTAAGATTAACTTTCCCACCATTGTTTGGATACAAGTGTGGTGGACAAAGATGTGACACATTTGACAATCAGTAGAAAAAGAGTAACATCACAGTCTTTTCTTTCCAAACTTTGTACGTTAATGAGTGTATACAATATTCCGCAGTCATTCGAGTCATTGTCTCTTAGATATGTTATTTACACCCCTTGATCATGTCAAAAAAAGCTCTGACTGTTACAAATAATAAATAAAAAAAAGGACCCAGCTTTTTATGTTCTATTGGCAAAAGTTGATCTGTACTAGTAATGATGTATCAAAACATCCCCTCTTTATGCATCCGGGGTGGTCATCTGAGGACAGTCCTGGCTTAAATGTCCAGTCTCATCGCAATACCGGCATCCAGCTTGACACTCTGAACTGGCATGCCCCAGTTGAGCACAGTTACCGCAACGTACCTCGCCTCGTTGTCGCCAGTGGGTCTTCTTGGGTGCAGCCTCGTATCCTGGAGGTGCATTTGTTGAAGGCATAGAAACACCCCCTCCACTCGCCACGGGCAATGGTGCCGTGGACAGGAGTGAGCTATTCATCAAGCCTTGTTGTGACAACATTAGAGACACCATCGGATCACTCACAAGCGATTCCATGTTGGGATATATCGCCATTGAAGTCGAACTGGCAGTCATGGATATTGGTATTGTCGATGTGGTTGTTATAGCTGATGATGAGGGTGAGTCCATATCACCACTGCTGTCACCACTGCCACTACTGCTGCCACTGCCACTAGCCAAAGTTTGTTGTGCCAATAGAGGGGAAGACGGCTGTGACTGACGATTTACTCCGAGAATGTTACTGAAACCAGGTGGTGGCATGGATAGGTTGCCCAGAGGTGACGTCCCTGTCGATCCAGAAGCTAGTGGTTGCTGCAATTGCTTAAGTTGAAGTTGTTGCAACTGTTGCAATTGCAAATGATGTTGATGCGACGCCAAGATGTGCTTCTCCAACTGACGACAACGTTCTTCGACCTTCCAAACATACCGTTGAGCTTCCTCCATCTCACGCTTCTTCTGGGATTCCATGGCCTGAATGGTCTGCTGTTCATGCTCACGGGCTAGCGTCGCTAAGGTCGAGTAGCGCTCCGTTAGCGAAGATACCTGCTGCTGCATCGAAACCAATGTTGTCAACAACGATTTATTCTCTGCCTGCAAAGTAAGTACCAAGGACACCAGTGCTTGAGCGGGAAGCTTGGAGAGTTCCTCTGCGCCGTCTGCAGTGTTTTCTTCTTCAGGCTCCTGTGCTACAGTCCACTGTTCTCGTTGCTGAAATTGGTCTGCCTTTCCCCATACCTTTCGTTGAGGTTGCTCTGCTTTTCCCCATCCCCTCTCCTGAGGCTGGTCTGTCTTCCCCCATCCTTTTTGCTGAGATTGGTCTGATCTCCAGCTTCTCTCTTGAGGCTGGTCTGATCTCCATCCTCTTTCCTGAGGTTGGTCTGCCTTTCCCCATCCTCTCTGCTGAGGTAGGTCTGCTCTCCATCCTCTTTCCTGAGGTTGGTCTGTCCTCCCCCATCCTCTCTCTTGAGATTGATCTTTCTTTCCCCATCCTCTCTGTTGTGGTTGGTCTTTCTTCCCCCATCCCCTCTGTTGAAATTGATCTCTCTTTTCCCATGTTTTCTGCTGGGGTTGGTCTGTATCTTCCAACTCTTCTTCTTGAGATCTGTCAGTTTTCTCTAAATCTCTTTGCCTCGTTTGCTCAAGCTGGTCTGTACCACCCCATGCTTTCTGTTGAAATTGGCCTACCTTCCCCCATCCTTTCTGCTGAGGTTGATCTGCGTTTTCCCATTCTTTCTGCTGTGACCCGTTCGCATCTCCCCACCCTGTCTGTTGAGGTTGGGTTGTCTTTTCCCATCCTATTTGCTCGGGCTGGCTTGCATCTCCCCATGCTTTCTGCTGAGGCGGATCAATGCTCCCCCAACCTGTCTGTTCAGGTCGGTCTACTTCCCCCCATCCTGTCTGTTGAGGTTGGTCTGCCTTCCATCCTATTTGCTCAGGCTGGTTTGCATCTCCCCACACCTTCTGCTGAGGCTGATCTACTTTCCCCCACCCTATCTGTTCAGGTTGGTCTACTTCCCCCCATCCTGTCTGTTCAGGTTGGTCTGTCTTCTCCCATCCTATTTGCTCAGGCCGGTCTGATTTCTCCCATCCTGTCTGTTCAGGTTGGTCTACTTTCTCCCACCCTATTTGCTCAGGTTGGTTTGCTTCTCCCCATACCTTCTGCTGAGGTTGATCCGCCTCTCCCCATCCCTTCTGGGGCTGCTCTACTTTCCCGCATCCTCCCTGCTCAGATTGATCTACCTCTCCCCACCCCTTCTGCTCAGGTTGGTCTGGTTTGCCCCATCCTTTCTGTTGAGAAGCGCCATTGGTTTGTTGTGACCAACCGTCACCGATTGAGATCCTTTCTTTTTCTTGTGCATTTTGTCCTCTTATTGCCAATTGAGCGCCTTCTATTTTCTCAGAAGTTGGAGCCGTGCGATTGGCAAGAGTGGCTGCAGAGGGTGCCCATGTTGGCACCTTAATTTCCTTATCGATCTCTTCGTTAGATTTAGACGAGGTCATAGATTTTGGTGTTACAACAGAAGTGAAATTGCCATGAGTAGTGGTTGAGGCTGCATAAACTGGCTCCATGGCTCCTTCGTCTTTATTAGTTTCCGGAATTCCCTTGGTCTGCTTAGCTCCTTTCGTCTCCTTCAATTTCTTGATTTCTTTAGTCTCCTTAGTTTCCTTGATCTTCTTAGTTGTCTTGATGTCTTTAGTAGCATTAATAGTTTCTTCAAGCTGCTTCCGCTCGCGCTCTCGTTGCCTTTCCATAGCTTCCTTTATCTCTTGAGCTTCTATGGCTTTTTGACGAGCCTCTTCCTCTTCCGCAGCCTTCTTTGCTCTAGCTGCCTCGGCCTCGCGGGCTTCTTCAGCAGCCTTTCTCTCTCTCTCGAGCTCAAGTTGCTTTTGCTTTTCTCTTAGCTCCTTGGCCTCTTGTCTCTCGATTGCCTCCTGTGCTTCCCTCATTTCCCTTAGGCGTTGGGCCTCCTCCGCTTTCTTGGCTGCGGCTTGAGCTGCTGCAGTCTCTTCTGCTTCAGCGGCCTCTTTGGCTTGACGTTTGGCTTCCTTCTTAGCCTGCTTCTTTAACTCCCTGGCTTCCTTTGATGACAAAGCTGTCAGCGGTTCAATACGGTCGACATGAATGAGGCCTGGAACACGCTGTGAAGAAGCATGCCCTTCAAAAGGTATATCTTCCGTAGTGACTTTGACCTCACGGGCAGCAGTCTCCCCCGCGGTCGCTGATGCGGTCGCTGCAGCTGCCTCGGCAGCCTTTTTCTTCTTTTTTTCTTTCTTCTTCTTATTCTTACTCATAGCCCCAGTACTTGGCGGACCGTCACCCTCTTCCTCATCTGAGACTTGTGCGCTGGCTGTAGGTGTGACATCCTTGTTAGGTACCAAGAAGCCCTTAACATTAAGTTTGCTGTCATTCACGTCTTGTCCAATCGATTTGAGGAATTTTTTTTCCTTCTGAATGGCAGCCATCTCACCCATAGCTCTTGCGCCTTCTCTCATCATGAGGCGCGAGATCATAACCGCAAGGACCTTACGACCAATCTTTACGCCCTCTCGAAATTGTAATGCTAATTTCATGCGACCTTCCTGAGATTTTACGACACGAGAACGAAAGTGATCATCATGAAGACCTAGTTGGACAGCTTCCAAAACTTCGGCTTCTTCCATTAGTATTCCAAGGGTATTCAAGCAAACAGTAGCGAAATCCAAGCTGGAGAATAATGTCAGCCGAGATTGGAAAAACCACTTGCGCGTTTCTACAGAAAGAAATTCGAGTTTTTTGATCCGCCGACGGAATTCTTTGTTAGCAGCTTTCTCAAGCCTTCCCTGGACGGTCTTTTGAGAGTCTTGAAAGTACCCAGCAGCCACTGCCTCGACTTCCTCGTCAACTTCTTTAAGTTTGTTCAAGACTAGCACTCTAAACTGGGCCATCTTGGTGTCAAAAATTGGGATCAATTGCTCGACCATCTTCAAAGCTTTACGGCACTTCTCAGGGCTCTCTTCTAAGATCTTATCAATCCGAGCTGTCCCGACCTTGCCCTCTTGAATACGGGCTAGTGCCAGTTTGAGGATTTTTGTTTGCGCTGCCGCCAGTTCCTTAATAAACTCACGAAGCGATCTTTCTGAGGAGTCTAATACATCTGTGATCAGCTGCTTGTGGATGAATTGCAAGTTATCAATAAACGTCTGGAATCCTTGATCAGCCTCCGCAACTAAATCAATAGACTCTGATGTTGATCCTTTTTTCTTTAACGATGGCTTTTTAACAGACGACTCTACTTTTGACCAGATCTGTGTTAAAAAAATTGTCGTGTTAATGGGCTGATAGGAGTAAATAAAAGAACCCCCCAACACAACACAACACAACGCTGATAGCATTTAAATTATATTGGGCTTACATCCTGGAATGACAACAGTCGATCTTTATACGTTTGAGCAAACTCTTTTGCACGAGATGGACTCAAGATACCAGATCGGACCCTCTCGGCACCTTCCATACGTTCCAAAGCCTCTTCTACGTGTTTCCAAACGGGCCCGATCTGTTTTCGTAGTCCTTCTTGGTCACGCATCCGCATCCTCTTGAGCTCTTCATTGAAAAGCTCCTTTTCTAATTCCAGATCGGCGGGCGTTTTGGAATGGCCCTTAGTATGTTGACACGTTGGGTTCATGATCTGGTTTTGAAGCTGTGCCTTGGTCACTCTCTTTAATAATGGGTATCCTTGATGGCCTAGAATCATATGGGCTTTTTCAATCGTAATTGTGGCAAGTATAGGGGTGACATCATCCTGCTGTTGGTTCTGCTCCTGGTTTTGAAGTGGACATAACGCATAAAGAGCCTCAAAGTCCATGAGAGAAAAGACTTCGGGCGATGTGTAGAGTGCACTTGGCTGCTGTATCCATTCTCGGACAGTTTCAACAATCTCTGACACAAATCCATCATGATTTGATCCTGAGGCTGGGGGTGCAGGGGTTGTTCCTGTTCCAGCTTTGCTTGCAGCAATTGCTGCGGCTGCAACTGATCCTGCGCCGGTTGATCCTGGAGTTCGTCCATGTGCCCCTATCGCAGCATTATCCGCAGTTGACTGCTGATAGAATCGTTCACATACCACCATGGCGTACTCCTTATGCTTCTTCTTTGGCTCAGATCCAGAGCCTTCCGAGTTTGTGGAGCTCATTCCTCCTGATCCAGCACGTCCGCCCTTCTTGTCTGCAACTGAGCTACCCTTCTCTTTGCCAAACATCTTTTTGAAAATCCACTGGGCCCATTCGCGGCAGTAGAAACATGTGTTTTGGTCGCAAGCTCGGAACTTGGCGAGCTCCTTTGTCAATAGGGCAGTCTCGACTTTGAGAGAAGACGGGACAAGGTGAGGGTGCTCTGAAATAAAGGCATCCGACTGACTGTTGGCTTTAGAAGAAGACGACGAAGACTGTTGAGGTGGAGCAGCATCAGTTTTTTGCGCGGGTGTGGACTTTGACTGGAGCAATGGGACAATGGTGGGGAGGTTGAGATCGGATTCAGCCATGGTATGTGTTTGTGAAGTGTTCAAAAATGCGAAGCTTGGGAAGAATATGTGTGAAAAAGAGGGATATCTTCGAAAACAACTAAAAAAAAAATAATAAACAAGTCTGATCACGTGTATTGTCGCGACAGCCCGGTGGTAACTGGTTCTCAATAGATACAAAGCTGATCATGCAACATTTGTTTGTGTGTGTTCTTGAACATTGTTTCCCCTTTCTATCTATAATTTATATATAGGCGCCACGTCCACCCTCTCCTTGACGGCCAGTTTCGGTCGCGGGTTTGTCGATGCGAGTATACTCGACCAAGAAGTTAGCAAGATTATAGGTTGAGTTACTCTCAGCCTCTACGGAATCCAAAGCATGGCCTGTGCCTTCAAAGATCTGGATCTTATTGATAGATGCATTCTTCTCGCGGCTCTCCTTCTTGATTGAGTTTTGACGCGCTTGCCACCACGATATTCCTTGGCTAGGTGGCACACGACGGTCGCCTGCTCCCAGTAATACTAAGGTAGGAGTCACCACTTTTTCAACATGCTCCATTGGTGAGGCACGGCGCATCTTGGTGAACCACTCTAGGTTCGACAACGTGGAAGTAGGCGGCGATTCCATATCATAAGACAGGGCGTTGATAGCATAGCACCAATCCGTAATGTCGGTGACACCTGTCATGGCAGGTATGTCTGTAACAGGATTACGTAATACAGCGGCCTTCCAACTGGGGTCCTTCAGCAAATGCGCAACAATGAATCCACCATGGCTTCCTCCTGTCAAGCAAGTGCGTTCGGGATCTACCTCGCCTAGAGATATAATATGGTCACGAACAGCTTCGCACTGCTTGACATCTAGGTCGCCGACCTTTCCGACTAACGCTTCAACATTGTCTTGTCCAAATCCAAGGCTTCCTGTAAAGTTGACTATTATTATAACCAGTACAAATTTGAGAAGGGTATGTTAGCTGCCAACGAAACCATAATCAAATTTAATAACTAATTAAAATAAATAGAGAAAGCAACAACAATAATAAAACTTACCACAAGCGACAGCAAACCCCAGTCCAACAAGGACCAAGCTCAAGGCTGAAAACTCAGCTGTAAATCCCGAATGGGGCCCTCCATGAGGGAAAATCACCAAAGGTGGCTTGGATCCACCGACTGCGCTGGTTTGCTGAGCATTGCTATCTGACTTAAAGGGATGCAGATACAATGCTTCCAGACTCTCCAATTGACCTGGAATGTTACCTACAATAGACCATGAGTGAGGTTGGTAAAACGGCTTGGCCTTCTCGGATTTACTATTCTCTAGGATTGTGAAGTTGACCTTCAGGTCTTTGCCTCCATTGCTTGCATCAATCTGGCCCAACCACAACGCCCAAGGCTCTGTAGGTGTCGAGTATGTAGCCAAAATCCAATGCGAGTTAGCAAATAGTGCAGTGACAGCACCAGGGTACTGAGACAGCGGAGTTAACTCCTCAACAGCGCCGGATTCGGTATCAATCAAAAGTAGTGTACGGCGAGTACGCCATGCGGAAGATGTAATAATTTTTGTAGACGATATCCAGGTTTGTTTGGGGAGTTGGTCTATATAAAGGCCAGGGAACCCCGTCTTATCATCTGCTTTCCGAACATAGTCCACCACAGTTGAAACCTTGCCCGAAGCGATATCAAGCTATGCAGAGTCATGTTACACGGATAGATATGTTAACAGAAATAACAGGGAGACGTTCGCTTCATAATTATGATGATCTGAATAACATGCTTTACTTTCCACAACTTGGCACAGCTGGCATGCGGTCCGTTCACTTGGTTTGACAAGAACACCTATTCAATAAGTTACGTTAGTAGACAGATATTTATTATGGAATTAAGTCAATGGGTATCATCTACCCTAGCTCCAGATAGACTTCCTACTTACCAAGGTTGTGCCCTCCTTATTTAATCTTGGAGACCTTGCGCTCTTGATATCTCCGATTAGATGCTTCAGACCAGTGCCGTCAAGGTTAATCTGATAAAGTCCAGTACTATCAATAACTCACAAACACAAGTTTTGATTCAACATCAAAGCGCTTTCAATCAATCAGCATCATGATTCTTCGAAGAGACACTATTTGTTGCACTTACAGTCTGTTTTGGCAATACACAATTCCATGAAACTGAGGATCACGGTGATACCCTGTAAAGATGAGTGAATTGGAATCGTGCGAGAAGATGGCTTGCCCAGGGCTCATGTCGCCTTCCAAGCGGTCAAGGATCTTGATTTCCAAGGTCACAACGTCAACAATAACTAAGGAAGGCTCACGCTTCCCAGTGAATGTCTCCCCCCAATCGGGTTTATATGCATATTTCTAAGGATATTGATCAAAATGAGAAATGATATCATGTTGATTCTCTGGTCCATAATCTTTATACCCGTCGTCTGGTTGGTTAGATTAGCCATCACTTACTTCCACTGCGTTTTCACTCTTCTTTCGATCTGCGACATAAACAACTTTGGTCTCATCGGGCGACCATTCGAGCGTTCCGAATGTCGAATCCGCATAAAAGTCGTCATGAATGGAAGTAGCCTCCAGTAAATGAAGAATGGAGCCTTCAGACCAGATCTGTAGTAGTGATGGGTATTAATGAAATGGTTTAGTGGCAATATCTCTCTTTCTCCCTTTGTGAGACTAATGTATCATTTAAATTTAACCCCTGTTTGTTTCTATTTGCCTCACCTCGACAAAGTGTCTCTTTTTCTCGCCATTGACAGAGCGCAGAACAGCTACGAGTTTACCAGACGGTGAAGTGGCCTGGGCAATAGCATCGCCTGTATCAACAGAAGGCCCGCTTAAGACCAACGGAGTGAACTTATTCGGCGCAAACGAGGCAATAACTGTACGCGTAAACTTGCGCTTAACATTTCTTTCGAGATCTCTTTGCGAAAGAAAGACCTGGATGTCTTTGGTATAGCAAGGAAGGAAGCAGGAACAGGTAAAAATAGCAATTGGTCAATCAGTCGAGTTGAACAGCTGTCTGAAGACCTACCAATGTTTATTTTGCTCTTTTTCGTGGGAACAAAATATAACCCTTATAACACTTACTTAGAGCATTCTCTTTTGAATTTGGAAGGATAACAGCGTCCGAGTATGAAGGGATGGTGGCGATAGCCTTGAAGATCTCTTGAGGAGTGGACATGGCGATGAATGAGCAAGAGATTGAAAAATGAAAGATATTGCCCCATTCAACTTGTGAATGATATTTTTTGACTTCCTTCTTTGGCAAACATTATCCCAAATCAATGTGGGAGTACAAACATACTGCTTCAACTGTACATGTTCTTGGTGCATTGATTATTATATTATTTTAAAAGAGATCATGAACACCATCTGGAGGACTTTCTTCGGTATACGCGACAATATTGAGGATATTCGGGGCCCTGCCAATCTCTCAGAGGACGCTTGTGGAAACCTTGTTCATAGTCTTGTGCGTCTCGGTTATCTTAGCAGCATTGCAACATCACTCGATGGGAGATCGTTCATTACTCATGAGCAACTGACAAAAGATATCTTTTTGCAATTGGAGAAACGGCAAGGTCAGCAAGCATAGAGCAATTATGGAGCAGCTGTTGCTCACCTGTGTTTCTTCACACCTTTCTTTGTTCCTAATTTTTACTTTTTATTTTATTTTTAATAATAATAATATTCAGGTCGTGTTAGTTTACTCGATTTGCCCAAGGTGTTGAATGCCCAATTATCGGATATCCAAGAATGCGTGCAGGAATTGATCCGCTCGAAACCTACTACACTACTTCAGGTTCAGGATGAGCTCCTTCAGGCGTAAGTTTTTTTTTATTTATCTTTATTTTTTTTACTCTCTTCCTTTAAATGCTAACACACCATTTACAAATTTTGAATAGAGAGTATCTTGATACTATGGTATCACAATTAAATGAGGAGCTGGCTCGACAAGGATATTTCTCTATCATGGAGTCGTGTCGCAAATTCAAATTCAACATAGACTTCATGCGTCAGGTAAATGGTTTGATTTTTGCGTCTTGTTATACCTCGCCAGGAATAAAAGGTAAAAAAATGGAAATGGAGTGATTAACTAATTTGGAGTTTTGTGCCATCATCTCCTTAGTTTTTAAAAGATCGAGTTGGAAGGGCTATTTCAGGGCAATGGGATACCGTCGACCGAGGCTTGGTCGTTTCCCCTTCTTTTCTGGAGAAGGAAAAGATGGCTTTACTTAAAGCGCTTAGTGATTTAAAAGAGTACGCAAATGGCGCTTGCTTCCTCTTGGATTTTTATTCTTATTTTTGTATAATCTCAATAGGAAATCCATGCTTATCCTTTTCTTTTCTTTTTTTTTTAAATAGACCCACTAGTTTACAATCTCTACGTTCAATGAATGTCGTTCAGAGTCAGTTGTTTTATGGGCTGTGCGATCTGCTTTCTAAGGAAAGCGGAGTCAGAAATACATTACCAGGAGTTTTCAAGGGAACAAACGAACAGGGCCAGTTTGAGCCTAGCTCATATGAACAACAGCAGACAGAATGGATTGAGACATTCTTTAAAGATAATGGATTCATCGGTAAAAAAAAAAAAAAAAAAAAAAAAAAAAAAGGCATGCTTACCATAAGCTTTAAAGCTATAGTCATCACACCCATTTGAATAACTGATTGGTAAATCGCGTATTTGATTTTTTCCCCCTCCTATTCTCGGAGTAGAGCTAGGCGCCGTCAGGAAACGTGGAATAATAGATCCAAAGGCATATCTTCGATCAAATCATCCTTCCGCTCTCATTTTGGAAACACATGCTGTAAAAGACAGCATCTGGTCGATCGTTGACGCTAGCGTGGAGGATGCAATTTCAAATTTGTCATGGATCGATGTCAAGGTAAAAGTGGCGAATGGATCAATGATAGATTTAGGGTCCGTTGTAACAAAGCGCTTTAAGCTAAATTATCGGCTTCGATACTTTTTTTTTTTTTTTTTTTTTTTTCCTTGCTGATAGCCATTACTTCCAACACCTTTTACCAAAGATGACATATCCAGTTTGCTCCGTCAACTCCCCAGCCTTATGGAGCCGACATCGCGCATCGTTATTTCACCAGAGCAAGACCCATCGATGACTGGCTTTGGTGGCGGATTGCCGCAAGAGACTTTCGTGATCCATGATAGCATTGTTGTCACTTCAGGTCAGCTCCAGAAATGTCTTATGAAAATGGGACCTCTTCTTGATCGTAGCCTCGAGAATTTGGTCTCTTGGCGTTTGTCTTTTGGAGATAATCAGCAGTTATGTGGCCAGGATGACCAAGATGATTATGAACCCTATTTTGCTGGCCAAGGCAACAGTCATTCTAGTCTAAAAGGGTTTGTAGAGCACGCTATGAGTGCGCTAGATTCCCTGAAAAAGAATAACAGTCATCATACTAAAGCTTCTTTGCAAGGAGGAAGAAAGAAAGATGGACCAAATAATAAGCGGATTCAGGACTTTTTAACAATTCAAGATATCAAGAAAGAAGTCGAGCGATTGGAACCAGATTTTGATCCTGCGTTGATAAACATGATAGCAAAGGTGCTGAATGGGGATTTAATCCAAAATTTGAGGGACAGAAACCGATCTATAGTTTTGGATCAGGTACAGGGCGAGGAGAAGGATGAAGAAATAGAGGCCAAAAATACTTCAGGGAACAAGGCAGTTTCATCAGCTATTGCATCTCTGTCGAAGCGTATCGAACTCTCGTCTCAAGGTATTGATGTTTTTGAAGGTAATCTCTTTCCAAAAAAAAAAACTCTTGCTAAGGACTTGTTCATTTCACCTTGATGACGTTTTGATTTTGGAAATTACTAACAATAACACGGGTCCATGGGGTCTGCCAGATGATTCTGCAAGGAACTCCCTTAGTAAATATCTTCTACAGTCATTATCAGTTGAGCTTCTAGATTTAGTCACGCTATATACTGCCAATCTTAATAAGGCAGCTTCTTCAGCCTCAGAGCTCGCAGAGACCTTGAAGCTAGTGAATCAATCCTTTATGAAATATCACTGCCAAGCCGATGTCACCCCGTCGTCCAACACTGCACAAGTGCCTTTTTCCCTCTCTGCAGAAGAAGCCTCACTTTTAGTTGAACTTGTTCCGCAGAAAGTGAGTGACACGCTCAAGAAGATGCGTAGGTCCACAGCGGGCAGCGGGAAGCAAAAAAATTTAACCGAGTACTTAGGTCTCTGGTCATCGCTGCGCAAAGACTTGGGCTTTGAACTTAACACTACTGCTACTGATCAACTGAATGATAGGTGAGGAACAATTGGACATATTGAAGATTAGATAAGGTGCACGTTTTCTCTTTCATATACTCATTTTTTTTTCCCCCTATGATCATAGTCTATTTCTTGCTGAACATATGAAAGGGCTACGCAAGGTACTACAGGAGATCACTTCATCTATAGACCACGCACTCATGCTTCATATCGTGGCTTTGATCGCCTTTCAAAAGTGGACAGGACACATGCTTCATGCTTCTGGTAAATATGTTCCTCGCGTCATAAGGCAGTTACGGGTTTCTATAGAAATGTCGTCAGGAGATAGCACAGCGAAGGAACAATTAGACGTATTAGAGAAGGCGTTAGAGGCCATCCTTTCAAATGTCAAGCAACAACAATTGCATTCATCAGAAGGACAAGACCCATCAAATAAGCAGATGGAGATAGATCGGCTATTAAAAGATACACGCAATCTAGGACTATCATTGTCAAGTCCTATATTATAAAGTCATCTTAATTACTAAATACAACATTTATTTCAAAGATGAAATTTTTCGATGCTTTTCTATTTTACAAGTTCCTTGTTTAATGTGTCTGAGTGCGCTTTTGGGTGTCTAATAAGCTAAATGAGGTTTGTTTGCCAAGCACCAGGCCTGAAGACGATCCCAAAACTCTGTTACCACAGCTCTATCAGCATGCCGACGATGACGGTTTAACTGAAGGGTACCATTTATAAATGAAAAAAGGTTTATCAAGCACTCGGTCAGTGTCTATAATAAAAAGTTAAAAAAAAAAAAAAAAAAAAGGTACAGTGAAATAAAAACCAAAAATTTTACACTCACATTCAAGATTTCGACATTCCAAGACTTGATAATCTCCTTCGGTTGCTCATCTGCCCATTTGACATAAAAACCTTTGACTTGGGCAAATAGTTGGACAGGGGTCTGCCACTTCCACTTTTTAAATTGCCACTCAGCCCCAGTTGTAAAAACACACACTACACGATCCCAGTCTTCGTCTTTAAGCTGATCTGCGTTCTCAATGACATGATAGGGTGTTTTGTGGGGTTCATTAGGCTTCTGGCGACGCTCAATTGAAAGCCGTGATGGCTTAGTAACTCCTTGATTGCGAATATCCTCACTATTCACGAATCTATTCATTATAATACAAATAATACAAATAATACGGGAAAGAAAATTCCATGAGTACTTTTAGGATATATAATTTGGATTTGACCCTGGTTCTCCTCGTAATACATGTGCTTTAACCTACAGTTGATCCTCCAAGAACTGCTTCACATTGTACATTGTCAACATGGATGTCATTGCTGCAGGAACAATGATGATCGGAATACGCGAGGATGCTATAGAGCAATAGACGAACAAATTGTCGTGTAAGAATAGCGAATAGCTCATGAAGACCCAAGTGACTCATGGTCAAAAATAAATCCATGCACTTCCCAAGCTCCAAGTCTTACATGATTTGGATTTATTCTGAGATGATGAGCCGGTTCCAGAACGCGATGCTGTTACGCCTGCTGTGGAAACAGTACGCGAAGACGAACTTGGTAGAGTTGCCGATCCTGATTGCTTTGGATCCGGCTTTTTAGTTGGTGCCTTCTCGTCCTTGGATTTATTCTTGAGAAGAATACTTGCTCCGATCTTTTGGATGTTGGCAAAAGACTGCAAACGACAAGAGTGATTTCCTCAAACCTCTGGTCAGGGTTTTGGTGAGATAATACATAGCTACATGATCCTTCGAGCTGAAAACTCTTCTCTGCATACTAATAACCTACCTTATTGCCTCGCAACACACTGGCAGTTGTCCTGGCTAGCCTTTCCCTCATGATGGTCATTCGTAAAACCTCATTTCCGTCCATATGTCCTGATTGAGCTGATAACTTTTGTTTCTTTGACGCATCATTCTCCTTATCGTCCGCAACCCCATCTCCTGTTCGCTTGCCTAATGTTGAAAATAAGACATTGCTGAAATATAAGTATAAAAAATATACGCCTCAGTAACACAAGTTAATGTTTTTGTTTGAATCTATTTCACGTACTAGCGTTTGTTGGTTGATATAGAATATTGTTCGAGGTGGAGGTTACTCCAGTGAGATAGTCCAACACTCCTCTCTTGTCGAGGATCGAAACGATGGGAATACCCTTCTGAGCGACCTCCAAAGAGTACTCTGGCACACTCAAGTGAGCTTTCTGTAAAAGAAAGAGAAGTGTCTCAAGGTTGTAAGTCTCGTCTGATGCACCACGTCTGTAATTAGTTGGAGTGTTGCGTGGAAATTGAAATCTCTGCTCATCATCCGCAAAGACAACGTCAGTTGCTTCGGTGAGCTCTGTCACAAGATTGCCATCGGCATTGACAAGCGTGATAGGTTTCTTAGAGATGGTAAACTCGCGCAGGAGACTCAGTGGGTCGTTTCTTGACATTGTAATTTTGATGTAGTCTACTTGATCCTTTGTCTTGAGAGCTGGCCTTGTTTGGAAAAAAAGAGAGAAAGTGACGTCTATTTCTGGACACTTGTAATGCTTTTTTGCACACAACTTTTTTTCTATTTTCATCGTCGTCTGAATGGCACCAAAAATGACTGCAGCGCGGAAAGGTACTCCGGATACGGTCGCCTCCCAGTTAGTGGCAAGCAAGTCCGGGACAATCGCGTATTATGCTCTTATTTCGCGGTTGGTCATCTGGGTCATTGCAGTAGCTTCTCATGCTCTTGTGCAGGACTATGACTCTGCACTCGAGCTTGTATTACCAATCGAAACTCGGGCGCAACAGCTGTTTAAGAGCATCTTTGGCGTGTTTTTACGTTGGGATTCCTTTTATTTTGTTCATATTGCAGAGAATAACTATGTGTTTGAACAGTCCCATGCTTTCTTCCCGCTATTACCTGGCTTGATGAGACTGATCGCGAATTCTGGTAACAATTTAACCATGTTCAAAAATACTATGACCTTATCAGGGCCTCTCCCTAACAACCATTTTGATTTTAGTGCTGGCGCCCCTGAATGCGTTTCTTTCCTACAGGCAATTGTTGGTATTGGCAGGAATCCTGATCTCCAATGTGTCGTTTGTTATTGCATCCGTTCAGATCTATCGTTTATCACGGACGCTCTTCAAGCAAGACCAATTTGCTTTTTTAACAGCGCTACTTTACATCTTGACACCCTCAGGCATATTCATGTCTGCCATGTGAGTCAAGCATTTTATTTCTACTTTTGTCTCTTCGTTTATTAATATTAATATTGAGTAATCTGGATTTACCTTTCTTGGCGTCACCCTAGCTATGCAGAAAGTCTATTTGCAGCACTCTCGTTCACAGGAATGTTATATGCAGCGCGTAAACAATATCTTCCTGCAGCGATCGTTTGGTCCATTAGCAATCTCGCTAGGTCTAATGGCATTCTCTATGCAGGGTTTTTTGTCTACGATCTAATTGTTATGATTGATCTCCAGTCATCTATCTGGGTATGATTAATTTGACTCTAACTTTACTTGGGTACGGGTTACTCAGGAGACGGTGTTTGCTTTTTTCCTTTTTTGATCAATCTGTTTGCCTTCCATTTCTTATCGCCTTAGAATAAGATCAAGGCTCTTGTCAAAACGGGATGCTTGTGTCTGATCACTTGGTCTGGATTTTTTGCAGTACAAGCCTATGGCTTCTCTCTATATTGCACTAAAGCATTTGGTATTGACACGCGACCTTGGTGTCATACCAGAATGCCTTTCATTTACACGTTTGTCCAAGGTTTCTACTGGTAAATATCATTCTAACTTTTAGAATTCTTGTAATTATATATATATTTTTGATATACTGATACTCATTCGCTCTCCTATTACTATCTTGATAGGAATATTGGATTTCTCCGTTATTATGAAGTTAAGCAGATTCCCAACTTTCTGATGGCTGCGCCGATGATCACGCTTTCTGCATCTGGCATCGCCTTCTATACCGCATATGATTTGAGCCGAGCCTTGTCCCTTGGAAGATCACAAGCGTCATGTACAAGAGAAGATACATTACAGAAGCCTCCTCCATGTTTATAGGTTGCGTTGTCTTTTTATTAAACGTCGTAACATCTTTTTTCTCTCCTTCCTCTGTCCCGTAGCACCCAACAGGCGTGAGCCGCCGTTTTTAAGGTCCGAAACATTTCCTTACATTGTGATGTGGACAGTCCTTCTCTTCACAGCTGTAACAACAATGCATGTTCAAATTATCACACGAAACTTTTCCAGTCTGCCACCTGTCTACTGGTTTGCAGCCCATCAATTTGAGAAGAATGCGCTAGGTTCCGGCTGGGCCCGGAGTGTCAGCACGTTTTTTGTGATGTATGGATTGGTGGGTATCATCCTATTTGCCAACTTCTTTCCGCCTGCATAGAACATGCGCATAGCATATTTAGTTAAAATAAAGATAATTTCAGTCACGGATGGTGTGCTTGTCGGATCTAAATTTTTTCTTATTTCTTGACTTTTCTCCTCCATTGCTCGTCCGGACAGATGCTCGCTCGCCTCATAAAGCCTAGTCGGTTTCCATTCTCATCTTTCTCTTCCTCCTCGTCTTCATTACCCTCTCATTTCCCCAATCCCATTCGCTTTCGTCACACAGTGACTCCCCTCACAGCGGTAAAACCTAATATGTCTGCACCGGCTGCTATTCCTCCTGCAGAACGTGTCGCGCACTTCGAACAGGATGGTAAGCGTCAATTTTTCCCTACTATTGTACTCGTCCAAATGGTGACTTGTGTCTTCTGTGCGCCCGTCTATTGCTTTCTATCAGACCTGTCTAACTATGTATCTCACTTTAATTCTTACATGATAGTGTGGTCTATTTTCACTCCATTGGCGCTTGAGTGCCAGGCTGTGAATCTTGGTCAAGGCTTTATGAAGTAATGTAAACATATAACAGACTTGCCCATCATTTTCGTTTGACAAATGGCATTGTATGATACAGAAATGAAATCAAGGGCATGAGAAAGCCATTGTACTAACAGTGTGAAAAAAGGACATTACGAATCTTGAATTTAAAATTTTTTCGCATACAGCTTTCCGCCTCCGGATTTTGTGATTGAGGCTGCACGCGAGGCTCTTCTACATAACGAATGCAATCAGTATAGCCATCCTAAAGGCCGTCCAAGGTTGAGAAATGTATGACTCTGAACCCCAGTTTTGGCAAGATTCTTGGGATAGTCTCATTACATCTTACATTAGGATTCGAGTACATTTTCTATGCACTAACACATGAGCTCGTAGGCATTAGCAAAGTCATACAGTCCTCTCTTCAATAGGCAATTGGATCCAGAAACTGAGATTGTTGTTACTGCTGGCGCGAATGAAGGTACCACGGGATCATATTTGGAGTTTAGGTTTTTGCTTGACAGGGCCTTGCATCAACTGAATTGATCAATTGGACCACGTCCAAAAACCTTTTTTTTAGGTATTCTCTCTATTTTTGCAGGATATCTCGATCAAGGTTCAGAAGTCATCTTGATGGAGCCCTTCTTTGACCAGTACATTGTAAGTGCTATACGAACCTGTTTGTCTAGTTTACAAGAATTCTACAATAATGACACATGATACTCTCCTCCAGTCCAATATCACAATGAACGGGGGTGTCCCTGTCTATTGCCCTATTAGGCCCGTAGGAGATGTTTCAAAAGATATGAGTGCGAGTGAATGGAAAATCGATATCAAAGAGCTCGAATCTAAGATCACGCCCCGCTCCAAGATAATTGTCCTCAATACACCTCACAACCCTATTGGAAAAGTCTTCTCACGTGAAGAATTGGAGGAGATTGGAGCACTTGCTATTAAGCACAATCTGCTGATCATTAGTGACGAAGTTGTAAGGAATCGAGTAGATACCACATGTATATTCTTTGACAGCTATTAATCGACAAAACTGTTGAAGCTGTTCACTAACCGCATTGATTAATAATATTATGATAGTACGATCGGCTTTATTTTAACCCAACGACTCATGAACGTATTGCTAACTTGGATGGTCTGTGGGAGCGAACCATCACTGTTGGAAGTGGTGGAAAAACTTTTGGAACGACTGGCTGGCGTGTCGGTTGGTTGATCGGACCAAAGAACCTCGTTGAGCCTGCCTTGGCCGCACACACTCGCATCGTCTTTTGCGTAAACTCCCCTTTACAAGAGGCCACTGCAATTGGCTTTGAGCAAGCAGATGAGCGCAAATTCTTTGGCAGCCAGATTCATGCATATGAACACAAGCGTGAGAAATTATTGTCAGTCTTCCGTGAGCTTGGACTGCCTTGCACCGTCCCGGAGGGATCATATTTTATCTTGGTCAACACGAACAGGATCCAAGTCCCCGAAGATTACTTGTTTCCTGATCTATTGAAATCCCGTCCCAAGGATTTCAGAACCTGTTACTGGCTGACCAAAGAGATTGGTGTGTGCGCGATCCCCCCGAGCGAGTTTTACTCTAAGCCTAATCGAACTTTAGCTGAGGACTTCGCGCGTTTTGCTTTCTGCAAGACGGATGAAACTTTAGACGCAGCAGTGGAGAGGTTGCTTAAATTAAAGCCATTTATCAAATAGGTTCAATAAAAAAGATCTAGTAACGGTCACATGTGTGGCTTCTATATCACGTTCCCCAAAACAAAGCACAAAAAAAAAGAGTTTTTCTTTGCATTCAACCCATCCGTCTCATCAACTAACACCACACCTACACCTCATACTTACATCACAATGGCCAAGGAACGCAAGGAAAAAAAAGAAAAGAAGGCTGAGAAGGCTGAGAAGGCTGAGAAGAAGTCTGTTGATGCTGGAAATGAGTCTGACATGGAGGTCGATGCAGCTCCTCGTGTTGTTGATGTTTCGCCCATTGCTGCTCCTTTGGCCGCTGATAAGCTTACAAAGAAGCTTTTGAAGACTGTCAAGAAAGGTAATGATAAGCACATACAAACCCTATAAATTATGCTCGAACAATGTCTTCGAGTCCGATCTTTATTTGCTAGCAATTGAGATAAGAAGCACCACCACAACAACATCCTACAGTTACACTGGTTCTCCATTATCTGACAAGATCTTATCAGGAGAAAAGACAAATGACTGAATGCACCATGGCGCCACCAATTCTCTTCTATTTAAGATTATTACTTCGGGAATTGTATCTCACAGCGCTATCTCTTTAAATCAACTTTCCAATCAAGTGACATTTTCAAAAGAAAAAAAAATGGATCTGATCTATGTCACGCACATCAGCTCTCTTTCTCTGGTCCCAATTATCTAATTTATGATACATCACTCGCTTTAACACACTCATATGTTTCTTTCTATTTTCTTAGCTGCCAAAGCCAAGCATGTGAAGCGTGGTGTTAAAGAGGTTGTTAAGGGTCTCCGTAAGGGCGAGAAGGGCCTTGTACTGATTGCCGGCGATATCTCTCCAATTGATGTCATCACTCACGTTCCCGTCCTTTGTGAGGAAAACGATGTTCCTTACGTTTTCTTGCCCTCGAAAGAAGATCTTGGCGCTGCAGGATCAACCAAGCGTCCCACGTCCTGTGTGATGGTTGTTTTGGGTGGTAAGAAGAAGGATATGGATAGCGCTAAGGACTACAAGGAGCTCTATGATGAGTGCTTCGCCAAGGTCAAAGAGATGGTATGTTTTTTTTTTTTTTTCTTCAAATCCTTTGTTTTGATTACTGTTAGATTGAGAAGTCATATCTAATAACTCCCAATTTTTTTTTTTATTTTTTTTATTTTTTTTCCTTAGGATGAGGCTATCGTCTATTAAATACATTGCTGCTCTTTGTTAATTATACTCAATTTCATATGTATTATTGTCTGTTTTCCTCTTTATCAACACGCTCTATCATTAAAGCATTACTCGACTCATTCATTCTTAATGCACGATGCAAATGATTGTTACTAGTGTGGTCGGCTGTGACAAATCGCACAACTTGGTTGGTGCATAAAATCTTCTGTGGAAAAATCTGTAATCAATTCTGACTCGATTTGCGTAAATTAGGCGCGGTCACTTACTTGTGTTACTGTAATGACTTTGAGGACAATCCTCTCAAATAAGTACCAGAACGGTTCTTTTCTCCCCTTCTCTTTTCTTTTACATTCTATACATTCCTCATTTCAACTTGCATTCACCATCATCTCAACCAGGAATGACTTATGGTATAGACTTTATTTTCTCCCTCCTTAAAAATCTTTTAATATCGAGCCTTTATTAGATCCTGATCGTCACATCCTCGGATCAATCCAATTGATCCCTTTTCTAAAGGGGCATAATTATTGACTAGTCGTTTACTTCCCTCAATATTTCCTATGGCTCTTACTTTACACCTCAATAGAGCGTCGCAACACCCAGCCTGAGAATCCCTTCTCAAAACTGGTTCCAACGCAAACTATCGCCATTGTCCCCGAATTCACTCTCAGCTCAGGCCATACCCTATACCAGGTTCCTGTTGCATATCACACTTGGGGCGCGTTAAATGAGGCTGGTGATAATGTCATGATCATCTGCCATGCCCTCAGTGGCAGTGCAGATGTTGAGGACTGGTGAGTGACAATATATTGATCTGAAAGGGCTGTCGCCCCCATGTTTAAAGTCAAGTGGATAATAAGACATCAGGATCTCATGAGAATGAGCAAGGTGATTGGTTGTGCTCACTTTCAAGGACGATGTCGTGATTTTTTATCCAGATCGACCCCTCCATTGAATATTGGAGGACGCTCTTTACTGCTCTTCACCGCAGGGATCTTGGAAAGGCTATCCAACAAATGGTACTTTTTTAGAGCACATACTCATGTCCTTTTTTGTGCAACTTCTAGGTGGGGGCCATTAATGGGCCCTGGTCGCGCATTTGACCCTACAAAGTTTTTTATTATATGTTGTAATGTCCTGGGCTCCCCTTATGGAACAGCATCCCCAGTCACTCACAACCCTGAGACTGGCATTAATTATGGACCTGAGTTCCCTCTGACAACTATCCGCGACGATGTTAGGTACAGTCATTACTTACAGGGTTACATCATTTATGTATGTTGTCTTTAGTTCTCCTGAAGGCATTTTTATTATCACTAATGTCTCGAATTTCCCGCAATCGCAGACTTCATAAGCTCATTCTAGATGATCTGGGTATAAAATCAGTCGCGATCTGCATTGGCGGATCAATGGGAGGCATGCAGGTGTTGGAGTGGTCGTTCTTCGGCCCTGAATACGTCAAAGCCATTGTACCAATTGCAACATCTGCAAAGCATTCAGCTTGGTGCATCAGCTGGGGTGAAGCACAGCGTCAGTCGATCTATAGCGATCCCAATTATATGGACGGATACTACACATCTGATGCAGTGAGTCCTAGTCTATCTCTTTTTCTCTTTTTTTTTTTCTTTTTTTTTTATCTCTGGAAAGAAGGATAAACAATGACTAACTTCGATCACATTGGATAAACACTTTCCAATGACATGTATATGGCAATATATTTTTAGCCGCCTTCAGTAGGTCTCGCTGCTGCACGAATGGCTGCAATGTTGACATATCGTTCCAGGAACTCATTCGAGTCAAGATTTGGTCGCAAAATTATGGATAAACCCACATTCTCAGTGGCTCGCGAGCCTGCTTCACCTGCAGAGGAACATCATCAAATCCATAACGATGGACACCGCAATACCAAGGGCGCAGTGTCTCGTAAGAGCTCTACTGATAGCACTGGTAGTCTTTTGGCTGCAAGTGCCAAAGTATTGGCATCCACTCTTGGGAACTCAGGTGACAATACAAGCAGCACAGCCTCTGCAGACACAGCAGCAAGCACACCTCCTACCGCAAATGGATCGGAAACGCCCACCACTAATGATAACACGTCTACCTCCATGCTTACTGCGATCCCTGTAGTATTGAACAAGAGCAGAAATAAAAGCCAGAAACCAACCGTATTCTCAGCTCAGAATTATCTCCGCTATCAAGGTGACAAGTTTATCCATCGATTTGACGCCAACTGCTACATTGCAATCACGCGCAAAATGGACGTCCACGACATTTCAGCAGGACGTGGAGAATTAATTGAAGTCTTGAATAGCATCAAGCAGCCGGCATTAGTGATTGGTAAGTGAAATGCTCCTTCAAACTCTATGTTTGCTAAGACTGTTCTGCGACAAATGGCTAGAAAACTAACATAAACACAATCTTTTTTTTTCTTTTTCGCCACATCTACGTCAGGCGTCGAATCGGACGGTCTGTTCACGATCTCAGAGCAATACGAGCTGGCAGAACATTTGCATGATTCTGAAATGGTCGTAGTCCAGTCACCAGATGGGCACGACGGATTCTTACTCGAGTTTGAGCAGATCAATAATGCCATTATCTCATTCATGCAGAAGCACGAGCATATCCGCGAAATCCTCACCCGTAAAGGCGTCCAGCCGCCTGCACAAGTTGGAGAGGTTGTCAAAGAAAGTTTGTTTGGTGAAAGTGAGATCGTCAACTGGTAGAATTCTGTAATAATATATTCCTCTCATTCCTTTGACTGCATTTGCCTTATCTTGATCCATAAAAAGACTGACTTGTAAAAGAAAAAAATATATTATTGACTCAGGTTTCTAATATACCAAATTGATCTGATCTGCTGTTGATCTTTGCTGACAATCTAAACAAACTTCACACTGTTGTTCTCCGTAATTTCCTCTTTGCCTTGCTATCTCCTGTGTGTATCTGCCGAGTCATGATTTTTTTATTTATTTTATTTTATTTTTTTTTTTAATTGGGGCGGTTGATCTTGGCTTCGTTGAATAAGACAGTTTGGTTGACTATGATGAAAATAGAGATCAAGGTTGATTTATAAGAATCTAAGACTAATGCAAAAGAAAGATCTATTGCAAATCAGACGATATATTACCGCGAGGGTCAAACTTCATAAAAGACAGCTTGGGGGTAGTCCTTGGGCGACGGGTGGTGTAGAAGAATCCAGTTCCAGCTGTAGACAGCAGCTTGACGATGATAGTCCTATGGAATCAGAGTGAATTGAATGTCGTTGTCAGAACTATGAATAACTTTCCCTTTATAGGGATAGTTTTTGTATACAATATAATATTTTCCTCTTTACCTTGCTTTTGCTTTCTTGGCCATCTTTACAAAGAGGATAAGGATGAAAAGTCACAGTTACAATATCGTAAAAAAAAAAAAGAAAAAAAAAAAAAGTCAGTTCCTGAAGAGACAACAATTGAGACAAATATTGAATCTTCGTGTTCGATCAAGTTGATCTTAAAAAAAAAAACTAATGTAAATGTTATAAGTGAGATAAATGATGTTCAGTGAATGCTCTTCACTGACTGACTAATAGCAAGGAGTGTCTAATCATACTTTGTGTTAATGTCGGAAAGTGTGTTGGTGAAAGTAAAAAAGAAATAGACCGAAAACTATTGTCAATTTTTAATCGTTATGTGTGACTGCGCGCTGAATCCTACATCCTTTTTGAACAAATTGCTTAACACAAAACAACCTCTATTTTTTATTACATCAATATCATGAGCTCACAATTTAATCTGGACGCATTACCATGTAAGCAAGGAACGCATGTCATTAAAAAAGAAGAGGATAGAGCAACTACTTGAGGATCGCGCTATGCTTCATGAATCTTATGGCCTATTTCTAAACACCTTTCTTTTTTATTTTTTCCCTTTTCATTTTATTTTGGTGTTTAGATGTCGACAAACAAATCGATGAACCAGGTAAAAAAATGAATGAATGAAGAAAAAAAAAAAAAAAAAAAAGACCGAAAACATTAAATTGATTTATAAATGTCTGTTTTTTTGCTTCCTGGATTTACAAGGTGTTCGCACCATGGTTGACAAGCTGATTGCAGCAGAGATGAAGCGCATGCCAAAACCTCGTGACCCTGCCTCTCTTTTCTCGGATATCGAGCTCTTCAAAGCGGATGAACTTTTGCAGCAGGAACTGGAGCGTGTTCGTAAAGGCAGACCAATGGAAACATTGGATTTCTCTCGCTATCGTCTTGATCCGCCTACAGCATCAGCAACAGCATCAGCAACAGCATCATCATCTACTTCGTCATCAACCACAGGATCAGATTCGACTTCTGCAATAGAAGGCGGTATATCTGCCACATCCACACCTTCTGCATCTGAGGAATTACCCGAAGGACGTAAACTATGGCTCGAAGCCCTTGATAATGCGAATGCGCAGCTGGAGCATCAAAGTCAACGGATCCTTAACCTGGAATTAATTCAAAAGTTTGGAAGCAATGCTTGGAATGTTCATAATTATCAAATGGAATACGATCTTAGCTTACTTCGGAAAGCTGTTGATGAAAAACGATCTGAAGTTGTGGAGCTAAACAAGCTGCGAAAGCGCGATCAGGTATTCTTTCCTATTCTCCCTATATCTTCTATACAATATGAAGTGTTTATTAATACTAGTACATATTTGTTTACGTGATACTAAAATATGACCCCTACCCCTACAATTTTTGATCTCGATCCTTTTTCAGACGGAGATTGCAGAGTCGCTGCAAAGGCTCGAGGCCAAATGGGCGGAGCTAATTAGCTCAACGTTACAAGTTGAAGTCGCTAGCACATCTTTGGAGGCAGAACTCGCACAACTGAAAGAATACGAAGCCAAATTGAGTAAGGACCTTGGTGTATCCCTCTCTTAACTATCTAAGTCATAGAGCTTTTATGTTACATTAAATCTTCAGCATTTGAGAGGAAGATAAACCTTTTTCTCTTGCATGCTTGATATTGCTTTTATATTTCAGCATCTTTTTTTTTTAATATTATTGTAATATATTCTTTTTTACGCCTTCGTCTGTGACCCTGTAGTAGACTGTTGATTCTGGTTTGAGAGGTTGCCATGATGGTATTGTGGATCAGGGTATTGCGTGGGAGGATGAGGAGGATAATAAATAGTCGGTTGGTAGTAATAGTAATTGTTATAGTCCTCTGGTGTCATCATCATTAGCTCTCCACCAAGTCCTGGAACTGCGATGGACGCCGCTGCAGTAGCGCCATTGATAGTGGTCGGAACTGAGTCAGTAGTCGGAACACCCTCAAAATACATAGGGGCCATATATGACTGACTATGCATGGGCATGCCCATTGGCATTCCTACTGGCATTCCAACTGGCATTCCTACTGGTACAGGTACTGGCATATTCATCGATGCAACAGAGCCCGAGTCTCCATTGGGCATGTTAACAGGAGGATAGTAGTAGTAGTACATTGGCTGTGTCATTTGCTGAGGATCATAATAATATCCATCGTCATATCCATCGCCGTATCCATCGACATATCCATCGTCATAATAAGCTTCATCATCAATAACCTCAGCCGGCACATCCTGTTCAACAGAAGCAAAGGCTTTTCCGGAAGGCTTGAAAGGGGCAGCATGGATGGCGGTCTTGAGAGATTTTGAGCTGCCAGAGGCTGTTGACTCTTTAGATGCAGTAGCTCCAGCTTCGCTAGCCTTCTTCTTATCCTCCAATTTGCCATTAGAATTAGTGCTGTCCTTTTCCTCCTGGCGACTTCCAATATACCTTTTGGACACATTTACATTGTTAGTCCTTGGCCGGTCCCGTGTAGCGCTTTCAATCTTCTCAGTGTCTTCCCTAAGTTCCTCAGTCTCTTGCGTTGTTGGTTGAGATTGTTGTTGCAAATTCTGATGAGAACGGTGATTGTTTATGGAATGCCCTGAATGGAACTGCCCACGACCGCGTCCGCGACTTGAAAAGTTGCCGGGAATGAACGGAGATCGGGAGCCAGAGGACTGAATTGCAGGTTGATTCTGGGGTATTGGCTGACGGTATTTTGAGCTAGTAGGAGGAGATGACATTTCAGCTGCCTTGTCATTTGCGTCGGTATCAGTGATGGCGGTGGAGTCTATAATGTCATTATCCTGAGTATTTTCCTGGCTCTTGACAGAATCATCTTTGCTGGCATCATTTGAAGCAGTTGTTGGGTTCGTTACAGAAGCCTTGGTTGATTTGGGAAGTGCGGATTGCAACAAACGTGAGGCGCGTCTCAGGTCTTGGGCCGATGAGCGAGGACGATCTGTTTTACTGGACGATGAAGCTAATCCTGATTCGGGAGCAGTCTCTTCCTGCAAATGACCTCCTCCACTCTCTGCAACCTTGACGCTAGTACTTTCAGTGGTTTTGGAGGCAGGCTTAGAATTGGATGTATCACCTTTAGATGCATCAATTTTACCGGCAGCAGATGACTCTGGATTATTTTGAGTAAAGGGCTATAGGAAATGTAGAAGATAATCAGCGGCGAAATTAAAAAAACCTCATATTAACCAGCTCATAAATACAGTTGACTTTTTTACCTTAGCATTCATGGAACGAGGTCGAGCATCGTTCTTTTGGTGGCGATGATTCTTTTCCTGTACCTTCATCAATTGGTCGTAACCATCGTGGCTCCATCGGTCAGATTTTGTTTTCGCTGAATTGATCCCTTTATCATCAGCGTTTTGTGGGTGTTGATTCTTCTCCGCGGAGGTAAGGGGCTCATCCCTAACATCAGCTCTAGTTGGACCTTGAGGCATGCCTCCTCGTCCAATTCCTCCTCTATTAAACAGAAAATCTATGTGAGTAAATGACCTAGTACTGTTCAAAACAAGTCCCTGCAACACTTCAAAGAAACACCATTAATACCTTCCCATGAAACGACCTCTAAAGCCACCGCGGTCACCAAAATTCTTTAACCCTGCACCCCTGTATCGATCATCATGGCCCCAGAACTCCCCAAGATGAGGGACGAATCTTGGATCTTCCGCCAACTTTTTGCGATATTCAACCCGTGCTTCTGCTGCAGCTCTTCCGCCACGGCCACGTGACAGAGGCTTTCCCAGATGCGCAGAGGATTTGCTATGCTGCTGAGCCTCTTGATGAGCTTCCTGTGTATCCCAACCCGATTTTTCTGCTGAACCCCAAGCCTCAGGTGCAGGTGGTTCACCCCAACTATCCCCTGACACTGTTGGCGCAGGGCCCCAACCATCCGTGGTAGAGGACGAGGATGATGGAGCCTCCGAGGAACCCTGGACCTGTGTTGCAGGAGAATCGCCCCAGCCGCTTGTTGACGCTTGTGGTGCAGATCCCCGACCATCCTTGGTGGAGGATGATGAACCTTTCGATGAGTCACCCCAACTGCTCGCTGGTGCTGATGGCGCGGATCCCCAACTATCCTTAGAAGGTGAGGATGATGAAGCCTTTGGGGGACGCTGCACCTGCCTTGCTGATGAATCGCCCCGATTATCCGCTGACACTGGTGACGCGGATCCCCAGTTATCCTTGGTAGAGGACGATGAAGCCTTCGAAGGGTGACCCCAGCCACTCTTTGATACTGATGACGTGTGTCCCCTACTATCCTTGGCGGAAGCTGAGGATGAGAGAGCTTTTGAAGAACCCCAAGCCTTGGGCGTAGGCGAGTCACCCCAACCACCTTTTGATGATGGTGTTGATCCCCAACTATCTACTGGTGCTGAGGGTGCGGGTCCCCAACTGTCTACTGGTGCTGAAGGTGCGGGCCCCCAACTGTCTACTGGTGCTGAAGGCGCGGATCCCCAGCCGTCCACCGATGATGATCCAGTTCCTTGATCATCCTTGGCAGAGGATGAGGACGAAGGGGTAGTTAATTTAGACGAGGCTGGGGCTCCTTGTTTGGGGGGCCGTTTATTCACCTTTGTTGACACATTAGAGCCATGTTGATGAAACTGAGGAGGGCTGTTGCTGTTGGGTGGATGATGATTAGCTCTATCAGTTCCAGTTTTTTCATTCTGTGATGTGATTTCCTTATCACCTGTGCCAGTGGACTGACTAGCTTTTTGATCCTGTTTCGCCTTTCTATTGCGCTTTTTCTTGGTGGAGGACGTCAAGTTGGAGGCAGCTGGCGAAGGAGAATGCGTGGGCGAGGCTGGCGTAGATTCTCTATTATGGTTAGGAGGCTGGGATGGGCGACCTTCTTGCGACACTGCACGACCGCAGCTTTGTTGGTTTTGGTGCTTACGAGGCGGTAGCGCTTTATTGTTTGGAGTTGAAGAAGAATCGTCTTTTCGTTCCAGTGACAGCTTTTCGAGCGCCAATTTTTTGATCTGCAGATCTGCCTCCTCCTCAGTGTCTGGATCATCGCTCTCAGAGTTACTAGACGCATGCCCATGATCGCCATCTTCATCCGAGCTACTCACTGCCAACTCAACTACCTCCTCACCGGACGATCGGTGTGGGCCGCGACGTGCCACCAATTTTTTGGAACGACCAGACTTTTTCTTGTTGGTTCGCTTTGATGGCTCTAATACGGCAGAAGTGGAGGCTGCAGTCGAGGTTGCGGTTGGGGTTGCGGTTGGGTCTGCAACATTGGATCCCTCAATACTAGTAGTGTCGGTAGTGATGCTATTGTTGGTGTCGGGATTCGTCTGGTTTGTACATTGAGCAGAGAGAGTATCCTTGGGCATGTTACGATGGTTATGCTTGTCTTTTGTGTCTTCAGTTTCATGGTCCACAGAATTTACGCGCTTGTTATCCGACGTGACCAACATGGAAGAGGCAGTGGTGATGGGATCTTCGGCACTTGCAGGAATGGATGTTTGCTGAGTTTGCATTGTGGTAATCAGTTACAATTACTAATTTCTTATTTTGAAGTTTTTTTTTTTTCTTTTTTCCCTTTTTTTGTTTTTTTGTGTGTTTTTGTCCTTTTGGTCGATGAAAGATCAGCTGTCAAAAAAAATAAATAAATAAATAAAACAGACCAAAAATAATCAGGACAGGTATGGGAAGGAAAGGATTAAATATTACAATGCTATGCGAAAAGGAAAAGGTAAAAAGAGGACGCAATGCAAATGAGAGAAAAGTTTGCTTTGATGTGTATTTTTTGTGTTTTATATGTCCCCTATCGTTGAGATTGGAGGTCATCAATTGTGATATCCCTTCGACGACGTTCTTTTTGCTCAGCAGATTTACGTCACGAGACAGATTTTTGCATGGCAAACATTCATCAATTCATTCTTTCTTGAAATTTCTCTCTCATCTTGGCCCTGTTAAAACCTGCAAAAACTATTCATTTGAACGTCAGTAATAACCTTCAGCGTCATGGCCCTTGGAATCTTCGGTCTCCTGGAGATCATGCTGCTCTTCGTCAATGCAGTCGCCATCTTGAACGAAGAACGCTTTCTTGCACGGAGTATGTCTTCTTTATCCTATTTGCCCTAGTGGTAGTGGTATTTTGTATCTGTCACGCCAAAACCTCTTCTTTGGACTTAATGCTTCTGAGGATATTGATGTAGCCTATTCACCCAACGATCTCGTCCCCAGAAAATACTTTTTTTTTCCTTTCTTTTTTGGTAACCTATAATTGATAACATGCTCCATTTCCATAGTTGGTTGGGCCCGCCAAGCGGTGGATCCATACGCCCAAGAATCTGTCAAGGCCAGACTTGTCAACTTGATCTCTGCAGTTCGAACATTGATGAGAAGTAGGTTTTTTTTTTTTAAAAAAAAAAAAAAAAAAACTTTGATAAATAATCTAACGCTTGGCATAAAACGTCTCCGATGTCCTTTTTTTGACTAGTTCCACTTATTGGCCTTAATATTATTGCAATCCTTTATCTTGTCATCCTCGGATAATAACATGCATGTGGTATCATCACAAAGACACGTGTGTCGGCAAATAGAGGTTGTCATGGTAAATGGGTAATGGCAAAAATCAGCAGTTTTTAACGATCCTCTCTGGCACTGCTATACTTGGTACATATACTCGGTTTCTTTTTCTGATCCAACTATCAACTGCCATTTATCATACCCAACTTCGTCTACATTCTATCGCTACTAAATCAACCACCCCTTTATCATCTAGATTTTTGTCATTACCTCCTTCCATTCTCATTAAAGTGACTGTTGCAATCAATAAAATGTTATTGTACATGATAAATTACGCGGCGAGCGACAAAATTGGGATTGGGGTAAACTGTAAAAGTAATGAGGGACATAGAGTGTGTAGGAGAGCAGTCGCAAAAATAATCTACACCTTGCTGGTCCTCTCTTCTAAGGAAGTCCATTGAGCTGTCGATAGGTTTGAGGAGTGCTTGATGCTGGTTTAGGTTCTAACTCTTCAGGGTAAATAGTTTTTGTTGGTATAGTATAATTTTCAGCGGGAAAAATTGGTCCAACACCTTGGACGAATCGTCTTCGCCTGTCCATTGCACTAAGAGCGTTTTCAGAGAGTGACTTGGGTGTCGACGTCTTTTTCTTCTTTGACTTTGTCATACGCTGAATAGACATCCCATAAGAATAAAAAAAGAGGAGGGTTAACCAGGTTAAGTCAAAAACACAAAAATGTCTACGGAAATATCTTACACTCAATATGAGATACTTACGAATCTCTTAAGATATCCTTGCTCAACCTGTTTATCTAAATCATCCAATATAGTGTTGTATTCTTGATATGCAAGATGGTTGTTCACAAGACCAAGCAATCGTTGTTTCCTGCTCTTGTTCACTTTCATCACCTCTCGCAACTCTCTCTGAAGAGATCTAAGTGTGATGCTGATCTCATCATCCTCCCGAGCATCCCAGTCAATCTAGATAAAAAATCTCCATGCTTGATTAACAGCTTGCCAATTTTCATACATTTAAAAAAAATAAAATAAAAAATAAAAGATTCGCAGTCATTTTGGTCATCCATACCTCTTCATTCCCCAAAAGTCCAATGTAACGAAGTTCTCGCTTGATCCTCTCCTCAAGATCCGCATAATTCTTTGCTGTTGATTGACTCCCTGGCTGCGCTGGTGTGGGTGATGCCGTTTCGAAAAGTTGATCATCATCTTGCTTCACCTCCTTAGGATCGACCAGATCTTCCGCAATAAGTGAGCATATTATTCTCTCCGTCAATGGTCCACAGGATACTTCATCCTGATCAATATTTTCATCCGTCAACTCAAATGGCTGATTGTACACTGTGTTCCGTGAAGCAATATCCTTGGCCATATCGACTGAACTACGCCGTGACTCAAATCCGTCGTAAGGCAGGTGTGCTCTATCTTCCTCAGCCCAAACGTCAAGATAATGCTTTCCAAGTGGTGGGATTAAAAGCGGTGTCACTTGGTCACCTTCTTCCTCTAGAAGTGTCCGATCAGCTTCTGTAAAAGGTCGGAAATATGGCTCCATTGAGGCCCAGAATGTTTGAATGGGCACCTGATTAGCGACCTTGACTTTTGAAAAGTCTTCCTGGACTTCTTGTGATTTTGGTTTCTGAGTTTTTTCTGTTTGATGTTCTGAATTTTTTTTCTTCTTTTGATGTGATGAATGATCCTTATCTCCTGTTCGGCTCTAAATAAGAATGATGTTAAAATTCGTCAAGTTTAAGCCGTAATGATGCAGGTTAAAAGTGAAAACATAAACCAACAATTATCGATATGTACCTGAGCCCCCTTTGGTGTACCGTGTCGATTAGAGTTGAGTTTGACAGGCTGGGGTGACATGCTTCGCCCTGTTTTGGTAAGTAAGTAATCTTCGCTCCTCTTCGATTTTGGATGAACCACAACTACGATTCGCATAGAAATGATCCTTTTATATAAGCAAATCCAAAGACTAGAAAACTAATAATCGAACTATGCAATATAAGTCGCAGTGATATACCTCGGTCATCTTCTGAGCATTCGCTTTCCTCGTCTAAAAGCTTCCGCTTTTTTTTCCCGTCCTGTGAGATTCTATCCAGTGACGTGTGTTAACTCTATGTTAGTTGGATTTTGAGTTGCTTTCAAATAACGTGATAAGCTCAAGTTCATTTGCGTTGAACAACGAGCCATCAAGGGAACTTACGATGGTGTCCCTGATCTAATTTTGATGGTTGTAGGTGTCGAAGCTGAACTTTGTTCATCGTCTGTCTTTGAACTCTCGGCTGCATCAGAACGTTTCAACTTTAATGTCACGACGCCCAGTTTGACAAGTGCAGGGTTACTGCTTCCACCGCCTTGTGCAAGCGACCCAGATGATCCTCCTGCCCTAGAACTGTTGAAGGATGAGGGTGACGATGTATTGGGCGACGCACTCGTACGTCCTGCTGCTGTTCCGGATAATCCATTGCTTGTCGTAGATGAGGAATTGAAGTTTACGTTTGATGTTGAGCTGGAAGTTGGAGCCGAGACTACTGAAGGATCTTTGGACAGAAGACCAGCACCCCCGTCCAACCTAGAAAGTTCCCCTGAATACTTCTCAAGCCGCCCTGCAGCCCTATCTGATAAGTGTAAAAGTTCCTGCTGAAGGGCTGCAAGCTCCTGATAAGATGGTACAGCTGGTATGGATGGTGATGCTGAAGACGTATTCGATGATCGGCTAAGGAAATTACGGAACGTGAGAGCGCTGAGGTCAAAACTGGGCGAAGCAGACGAGTCCATCGTCAAGGGTGTCTTGAAGAGCAAAAGAAATTAATTAAGTGACTGCAAGCAATCAAGATATCCAAGTCAGTACCAAAACATAAAGTGGAACCATGGATGACTGAATGATGAATAAATACTGATTGCAATATGCGATCACTGAATTTCATGCACGATATATTGTTACCTTATGACGTGACGTTGAACCATCCAACAATGACAGAATAGATTTCGCGCTTTTTTCTTTTTTAGAGTTAATGACAATGAATAAAGTTGAATCTGATGAAGAGAAATAATGGTGGTTCAAGAGAGGATGATGGAAGATGGAAATACTTGGAAAGCTTGATGTCGTTCACTGCTCAGAATAACGATTTGAGTGACTGATGAAGTGAGTGGATGCGGGAGCAGCACAATCTTGGCCCAAAAACAAAGGGGTCAGCTGATTTACTTTTTACAGCAGGTGCACTTTTGCTGTGACCTAGACTAATTTCTGTAGATCTGCTTTGCCTTTCCCTATGCGGAAGTCGCGTTATACTCGCATCAATCGCAAAAGAGCCCATTCTCCTCCATACGTCCATCATCTCGTTATTATTCTGTCTAGGCAATTCAACGACCTCTTTCCTCCTCTTCAGCTCTCTTTACCTCTAGTTGTTGTAGCAAAAATGGTGAGAGGAAGCTTTCGGAAGGCTGTCCAAGATCATTGATATCGACCGTGCTTCAGGCCTGCTCGAGTAGGGTACGTGCAGGTGCAGTATTGCGTTTGACATTGAATCCATCGCGGGCCCTCTCTGCAAGGCACATGTGCTTGCAAGGAATCCTTTGTTTTTCATGACCAGGACATGCGCAAGATAGAAGAGCGGCGTTGTCTAAATCTACAGTAATAGAATACTCTCTCCCTGCCGTAGAAAATGATTTGATGTCACACACATACTCTGTTGTGGGGCACAATCACTCTGTAAATACTGGCTGTAAAAAGCAATAAATCAGCTGACCCCTTTTGTTCTTGGGTTGATAATTCAGCTGAAAGACGGGATGAAAGAAGGTGATCTGTTGTTAATCAGCTTTCTCGCCATGACGCTTAACCCAGAATTACTGAATAGGATTACTCGGTGGGAGCAGGAATACGTCAAAGGAAACAAAAAACCCATTCTCGACAGGGTAAATCTCTTGCATTCTACAGCGCTCCGTCCTCGTAAAACAACGATACTAGAGGCTAATTTGTGCACAATTCTTTTTACAATGTTTTTTCCAGGAATACCCCCCTATTCGACCTCGAAGAGACATCGTATTCTCTGTAGAACCGCAGCCAGATAAGCTCGCTACCGCTACGACAGTGAAGAGCGAAATGGCTGAGAACAAAGTGAAAAACAGGAATGCAGGTGAAGCATCTTCAAGGACATCAAAAATAACAGAAAATACAGTTAAGAATGCCTTACAACACGTGGATCCCGCGGGCGCCAATGCCGAAAAAGAAAAGGTACTAAGATAGAAATGGAAAAAAGAAGAGAAAAAAAGTAAATAAGTGTTGGACTAGATCATTTTAATTGATTGAAAACCTCTTGATCCTCACAAAATGTTATGATTTTTGATAGGGAAACGAGTTTTTCAAAAAAGGCGATTTCCGGAAGGCTGTTGAGCATTATTCGGCCAGCATGGCACTTGATCCATTTAACGCCGTCCTTCCAATCAATAGAGCCATGGCGTTACTGAAGCTCAAAAGGCATGACTTTGCGTTTGATGCTACCAATTTACAGAATGATTCTTCCTTCTTAACGCTACATGTCCTTGCTTTCCACTAGATTTGCAGAGGCCGAAAACGACTGCTCTTTAGGCTTAAAACTAGACAACAAAAATGTGAAAGCGTTGTGGAGAAGAGGCATTGCTCGACAATCGCTTGGAAAGTTAGATGATGCGCGCAAGGACTTTGAGGATGCGCTCAAGATTGATCCAACCAACAAATCAGTCCAAGATGAGCTGGCTAAGTTACGACAACAGAGATCAGCTATACCAAATGTCTCTACCACAAAATCAAAGCCTGATTCGGTGACATTGCCTTCAGCCACAGCCACATTCACAAAGCGTGTATCAATTAGGGATGTAGGGAACGCAGAACAATCAAAACTTTTCAAAGAGACAACGCAAAGGCGTGTTACAACAGCTACCGCACCCGCCTCTATCATTGCTACTACCGAATCAGTGACGCTAAAGTCTATAGTGCCTGCTGAAGCTGTGGTAGCTGCACCATCTACGCGTCCAGCAAAAGCGTCAACCACAACACCACAAGCTAAGAAGGCATATACGCAAACTTTAGGGCCAACAGCATCAATTTCAGACCCACCCAAGCCTTTGGTTGAGCCTGCTAATATCTCAGCTCCTCCAAAAGTGATCAAGATGCCTAGCTATAGCGATCTCTCCATTAAGATGGCACCACCAACAAATAGCATGGAGTTTCAGCGCGATTGGAGAAGCTACAGCAGAAATAATGACATGCTCTATCTTTACCTCAAGGTAAGCTCGTCAATGGACCAATCCTATCAATTGCGTTGTACCCCAAATGGAATGCTGGGATATACCTCTGGAGCTGAATGCTTATTTATTTGTTTTATTTATAAGCTTATCCCTGTGGACACACTGCCACAACTTTTCAAAAGCTCATTCGAATCAGATCACTTATCATCTATCCTGACTGTCCTTAATAAGTATTACACTCTGTAAGTATATAGGAATCAGTATTGCAATATATGAATTTCAACAGGCGAACGATAAAGTAGCAAAAAAATAAAAAAATAACACGCATTCGCTACTTTATCTTTTAGTTATGAAAGTCCTGAGCTTATATACAACACCTTATCGAGCCTTGTAAAGGTTGACCGGTTTTCAATATCCCTGTTGTTTATGTCCGATGTACCTGATAAGAAGTATTTACGGGACATTTTCAACCAACTGCATGCCTATGTAGGACGGAGCGACTCTGTCTTTACAAAAAAAGACTTATCATCTCTTTCTGCGAAATATAGGATTTAACTTAATAAAACGAAACAGATAAGCAAATAAGAACAGCGTGAGAAGAAAAAAAAGAGAAAAGATAATATGCGATCTCTCGTCAGCTAGCGTCAACCCCTAAAAAACCGTTCCCAGCAATAGCTACTTATAACTAAGTAATGAACTTATTAAAATTTTTTATTTGGCTGTACAAGACTAGATGATTGATAATTTTATTCTACAACTTGCTGGGAACTTGATGTACTAGAAAAAAAAAAAAAAAAAAAAAAAAAAGAGAGAAAAAATCAGATGAACGATAATGATACGAACAAAGTGAAATTAGAAGTCTTAATAAAAAAATGAAAATTAGCCTTGCCTTTCTCAAGTGCTTCCCAGACTGGAGCAACTCCGCGTAGACACCATATATCATCGACTCTTATAGGAGGAGTATTCAAGTGATCCAACCATTTGCGATCCTCGTCTGCCAAGTAGGAGTTTATGGGGGTGGTGATTGCCTCTACCGGTATAGCAAAGTTAAGATGCGTAATTGTCCTGCCCGTTGACGTCTTTCCATTGCCTAAAAACAGGGTTGAAGCACTTAATGAATAAATTTAACAAGTTAGAAAATAATAATAACAACAATAACAACATACCTGTGACAAGGCCAACAAAAGAGCCGTCGGCATTGACAAGGACGCCGCCACTATTGCCACGATGGACTGGCGCACTACTGAGTAGCATGACGGGCTGTTTGTTATGAGTAATAACCTTGCTGCAAATTCCAGAGGTTACTAGCGGTAGGATACCAGATGATGGCCCAAAGATTCCATGCCCGATCGCAAACAGCGGCGTTCCTTTGACGATTGGCTTGGCTCTCGATCTAGGTTGACAGATAATATATCCTCATTAGATGGAAAATAAAGAATTCAAAAAACATATATATATATATATATATATATATATCATACATATCATCTTTGCTCCGTAAAGGTAGAAAGGGTAGGAAACCATTCAGGACGCAGGTCTCAGGGATTTTGATCAATGCCACGTCCCAACATGACTCGGAAACAAATATCAACTCACAGTCGTCCACCCATTGCTAGTATTATAAATGAATCAAGGATTGCATGTCAGGGAGCAAATATGGGATATGTCATCGTGAAACTACGTACAAAGAAAAAAAAAAGAAAACGCAACCTGTTGCTGTGGTGAATCAATTCTGACGCGAAGTGATACTCCATTTCTCAAATTGGGCCACGTTCGATTACTGATATTATCCAGAAATGAAGTAAACACATGTGCATTGGTAAGAATATCTGCGAAACAGTCAGCGAATCAGAATGAAAAGTGTTAACGGTCCGCAATTATTCGGTTGATACTCAGCAAGCGACCGAATTATACTCCAACAAAACTTACGCCCCTGCTTGGAAATGATGACGCCAGAAGCCCACGTCTGACCAACTTGAACCATCACAACTGCTTGGCGGGCATACACCAGCGAGCCTGAGTTCAGAGCTGCGATATGGTCTGGGAGAAGGGACTGTTTGGGTATCGTGAGGAAGGGCGAGATTGCTGAGATGATGCATGCTGCTGGAATGACAAGACTGATGTCCACTGGCTCACCATCCGTCCTCCTACGAAATTAATGAAGAAAAAAAAAATGTCATGAAACAAGTCAAACAAAAAAAAAAAAAAAAAAAAAAAAAGAAACAATACAGAAAAAGGCACATCTTTCATACCTGATGGGAAGCATACTCAAACCCGCTAGCTCTCCAGTCTCATCCCAGCTGACAGCTCCACCCTCCATTCCAGGTAAAAACTTGGCATCCGTTAGAATCAGGGAATTGGCTTGTTGATCTGCTCTGCGGGCGGCACGATAAGGATGAATAATATTGGCAACAACACCTTGGCTGATGTTGTTAATGAGGACTGATGGTGCAATCAGTCCAAAACCTGAACCATGAAGTGTCAATTTCTTCCCGATAGATGGAATGGACAAATGATAGGGATGTTGCTCACTTAACGCGGGTCGTCCGTCAAGAAGTAAAGATTTCTCTGCCATGGATTTTCTTAAGCGAAGAATTGCCAAGCCTGCAATGCCCACGTTTCTGAGCGAGAATCTATGAATGGAACTCAGGTCAGTGCCAATCTGTCTCTTATTCGAATCCCAGCCAAAAGCCCACATAGAAGAATCTTGACCAGTCAATCTTCGGATCGCAGAAAGCATTCCTATGAAGGAGTAGAAAGTTAAGTAAAACAATCAAATCAAGATCGATTTGCTTCTTCCTGAATAATTGATGATCGTAATGTAATACACATGCCTTCTGCCTCCACGACAGTAATTAGGTCTGCTATGATCCATGACTCATTACCATCTAAGGAATGAAAGACATTGTATCAATAACCTGTCGTTAATGAATATAGTAAGAATAAAAAATCCATTGTGTTTACCATCATCGATGTTGCTCTCAAAGAGAACATCTACACCAGAGTTTGCGCAAAGAACCATTTCACCATAGGAAGAAAGCTATACATGAATAAAAAATAACAATATGCATGAACAGTGAGCGCTTTTTTTTTTTTTTTTTTTTTGTATTGCTTAGGTGCATGGTCCACGTAGATTAATTAAGGTCCGTGTGGAGGAAGAAAAAATATCCCTTTGAACTTTGTAAACAAGAGGGTCCGTGTGCCCCGTTAGCATGTTCATTTTGGGATGACACATTCTCCCACGACTATTCAACCCCACAAAGTCTTCAATGGACTTGTACCCCTCTTTGATCCTTCCGTTATTTTCCTAGATGACCTTGAATGGAAGGAAAAGACAATCAAGAAGAATAGAATAATCAAGACTAACCTTATCCATCAGGAACGGTCTAAGAAGACTTGCACTATTTATTCATTTAAACAAGATATTCATTCATTCATTCATAATGGTAAGTACTCAAAAATGAATCCTTGTGAAAACTCACTCAGTTGAAGTATAATGTAAACAAGGAAGCAAAACATTGCGTTTACCTTGTTACGACAAGACCCGAATTCAGGGCAACACCCGACGCAGTAAATGTGGAATACCCCGCTGTGTTGGCATTAAAGAATACAAAAATACAGAGAGAGGGAGAGAAAGGGACAAAGAAAGGGGCCATTTGATTTACCCATCATGTAATGATCGAGTTAAGGATATTCATAGTTGATAGGCATTGAAGAATCTCTGGATAGGATAAAGAGCAAGCAGAAAACAAGAACAACGACAATCAAAAAAGAAAACAACAACAATAATAATAAAAGAATAAAACAAAATATATAATAAAACTAGCCGTTTGATCAGAGTTGATATTCATTATGAAAGAAGGCCCTGCCTTCAGTCTTTGAGCCATTGTCATCTGGGCCATGACAGCGAACGCAAACAGAAGCCCAGTTCTGGATCATTGGGTATGTTATCTAGTATGCAAAGATGAATTGGTGTGTCTATTGGAGTTAAGTATAAGAAGTAGACGAGCGGTTCTAGGGTTGCCGAGCTGTTGAGATGAGATTAGTGTGGTATTCAAGTGAAGTGTAGGAAGAAAGGATGAGGCGAGTGCGTTTGTAATGACAGTGGAGTAGCCGGCAAGAAAAGGATGTGAATAAGGAGAATGCAAGGCACACGAATGAGGTCCTCGGCTCAGTTTTCTTTTGACCTCGCCCGAGTGAACAGACCCTGAGATTCATTGTGGTATGTTAAATGAGCAGTCACGTAGACATGTCTTCGTCCTATGACATGCTTCTCATGAAATAAGAAAGAAAAGAGAAAAAAGTTCATTCTTTCTTTCTTCTTTCTTTACTTTATTTCTTTAAAAGTCTTCCATTATAAGTCTATCGATTTATAAACCTATAAAATCAGTTCATTCCTACTACGACTCATTAACGGTCTGAATTCCTTTCTTTCTTTAACATACAAGCTTTGACCCGTACCCGAACAAGACTTCTATATTCATTTTATTTCATTTCATTTCATTTCATTTCATTTCATTCCATTTTAATTTCGTCTGTCAACTTACTATGGACACTGACATGACCACCTCTGGTGGATTCAACTTGCTAATTGATCTGGCACAGGTCCCTGCAGAGCTGCAACAAGGCATTACTGCTATCGCTCTTAATTGCCCTCAGAACAACATCTCGCTCTTTGAAGACGACGACCTACAGGATGTCGAGTTTCACTGGCTATTGAGGTAGAGCAACTTGGTGCCTGCATGTTTCTGAAGTTACTCTGCAACAACTGGACAATTAGAAATTAGAACTGATAGAATTGTCTCCTTGTCCCTAACTTCTACCTTCACCCTTTACCTTTTAAAAAATACCTTAATTAGGTTCGAGAAGGATCTTGGGTTATGTGAAGGTGAATGCTCTGTCATGGTCGACCCTCTTATCGATACTAGCGCTGATCAAAAACGACTTGCGATTGTGGTCAAGTACCATCGTAAAATCGAAGGTATAAAATAGTAGTCTAAACATTTTTACAGAGCCAATTGCAGAGTTTTGATCGCCCGCATTTGCCTTAATGTACCACTTGATCCGATCTTATCTCCCTTCTCTCCACACACACAAACAAACACACAATGCGTCGTTTTTATTGAAGAGTACTTAAAGTATAAGCTTCTTTGATCCTGATGACCAAAGTACAGGCTCTAATTCGATTGGTCACACAACCAACGAGCATCGCATCTAGTACATGTACATATTCACAGACGAATTTCTCATGCATTTTTATAAAAGTCAGATGGTGCACTTTTTACCTTCCTTTTTTCTTTCTCCACGCGCTCTTTTATCGATTTGAACGGGGGACGCGAAATTGGAGACAATCGATGTCCCCGGTTGGTCTACTCAAACAGAGGCGAGCCACCCTTTCTGTGTGACCATTAGTGCTCATCTTCCGCATCCATTTCTACTGGTACTAAGCTTTAAAACTAGTCTAAATAACACATACAATGACCTGACTTTCTTTTATTACTGTAATTATTTTAATTTTTTACCAGCTTTCAGATCACTTGGCCGCATTCTTGGCGCCAGTAGACAGATCCAGGGCCTTGATATAGAAAAGATTCACTCCTTATTGAACTACACTGAAAAATGCCGCTTTGAGAACCTTGCGTACGTATTATGATGAGACCTTTTTCTCGCAATGACGACAATGACGCTCATTCTTAGACTGGATCCTAATGATGGTGGATACCTTAACAGAGTTATCTGTTAGAAGCGGACAGCTGCTGTGATAGAAATCAAGTGACATGACTAGTGTAGACTAATCTGAGTCTAATTGACATATTCTTTTAAATGATCTTTTTTTTAGTATTATGATCGATTGCAGTCGGGGAGGGGTTATGAAGCAGTCCAGTGTGTTCGCTTTGATGCGTAACTGCGCGTTGATGGGCATCAACATGATGCAACTATATACTGAGGATACCTATGAGATCGAAGGGGAGACCTTCTTCGGGTACCTGCGTGGGGGGTACACAAAACTTGAACTAATTAGTATGGATGACTATGCAGATACACTGGGTATCGAACTTGTTCCTTGCATTCAGACGTTAGGCCATCTAGGACAGATTTTGCAATGGCCAAAATACCACATTTATCGCGATACCAACGAGGTCTTGTTAGCCAACTGGGACGAGACCTATAACCTCATCGAAAAGGTATTCAGCAATGTATTATTTTTATAGAATTTTTTATTTGTGATCCCCGTCTGATACCGTCTATGCATGATTTACTTAGCCTTATCTTTTTTTTTCCTTTTTGCAACAGATGATTAGAGCAATCAGCTCCCCTCTGCGTTCCAAGCGTATTCATATTGGGCTCGACGAAGCAGGTGGAGTAGGTGAAGGTCGTTATCGCCAGATTTTTGGATATGAGGAACCTACTCGTGTCTTTCTCAACCATCTAAAGCGCGTCCAAGAAATTTGCAAACGGTTGGACTTGAAACCGATGATCTGGTCTGACAGTAAGTTGCCTGCGGTTATTTTTTTTTTCTGCACATTGAATGAGTCAATTATTGCACGCTCACGAATTAACCTTAATTTTTTGTGGGTGATTCATTGATAAAAAAAAATAAAATAAAATGCAGTGCTCTTTACATTAGCCAACAAAAACAACAGTTTAGCAGGTTATTACGATGGTGGCACGCCGCAATTGGTGGATACTCTCCCTCCAGAAATTGATCTTGTTTACTGGGATTACTATCACACTGCCAGTCAATCGTATTCGACCAAAATTGAGCAGCACCGAGAGTTGGGGTGCCCAAACCCATGGGTGGCAACTGCCGCCTGGACTTGGAACCGCTTTTGGACCGCGCTTCCATTTACTTTTGCGACCATTCAGGCATCATGTCAAGCCTCGAAGAAGAATGATCATGGTGTGAAGAATATGATGATCACCATTTGGGGCGATGAAGGGCATGAGTGCGATATGTTCTCAGCTTTGCCTGCCATGTATTATTTTGCAGACCATGGATACACTCTTGAAGATGAGATTGACCTTGATCGCCTAAAGAGTTGTTTCGAAGGCGTCTGTGGAGCTAACTTTGATGATTGGGTTTATGCTAGCAAGGTACTTATTTTATCGGTCGTATATCGGACAATTACCATGAGCTCCATAGACTTTGTTCGACTAATTAGTCTTCTCCACTCTTTTTTTTAGATTGACCAGGTGATGGATTCTGACATGCCACTAACACTCAAAACACATTTTGCGCCTAATACTAGCAAGTACTTGCTCTGGGAAGGTAAATGCTACCAGATGAGACAAGTTGATCCGCAACTTATAATTTGTCCAATTAAAAAAAAAAAAAAAAAAAAAAAAAAAAAAAAAATTAACGTAGCTTCAATATCGCTCTGCACTTCTTAGACCCCTTCTTATCTCATATCTCACCTCAATATGGGCACATGGACCTGGAGACTCATTACAGCGAAGTAGCTCAGAAACTAGCCAAGGCTATGGAATTCAAAGAGGAGCATCCCCAAAACTCACGTTTGCGAATGCCCTACCTTGTGGCCACAGCCCTGAGTCTCAAATGCCATCTGCATTCACGCCTAGCTTTAGCATATCAGCTTGGACATCGACAGGAGCTCTACGAACTGACAGAGGGTCGACTGGTGGACTTACAAGTAGCTGTAGATCAGCTCTGGAAATATCACCGGTCATTGTGGCATAAAACCAATAAACCCTTTGGCTGGGAAGTTGTGGAAATGCGATATGGTGGGCTCCGTACCCGTCTCTTGACCATGCGAGATCGCATCCTCGAATATATTGAAGCTTCAGAGAATTGGCAACAGCAGCAGCAACAACAGCAGCTACAAGTGACCACAGATGTGAGCTCTGCCTCTATTGGTAGTCAGAATGGCGAAAGTAGTTGCTTGAATGGCTATATGCATCATCGACGTGATAGCTTCGGTGATAACGATGATCCTCGCCCATGTATACCTGAGTTTGAGACAGTTCGAGAGCCCATGTATGAGTATGCAGGCTGTAACTTGCTTATGGACTATGCTAGGGTTTCAACTCCTTCGCGTCCAGGTTAAATTAAAAGGTTGCTTTGCCTTTTTTTTTCGATTGATCAATAAAACAAGGCGACAATAATCGAATATGTGCATTGTAAATGTTTTGATTGTTTTTTCTCTTTTTGCTTTTTTTATTCCTTCAGCAATATTTCATTATTCTACTCCACGGTATGATATTTAAAAATTGGCCCAGTCGTCATCGTCACCCCATCCATCCTTCTTCCCACTCTTAGCCAATCCAGACACTGGCTTTGCTGTTGCTGCTCTAGATGCTGCGGTAGAGGTCATTCTGTTATTTGCTGTGGATCCTGTCCTTGGAGCAGGTGAATTGGAGCTGGACCGTGTGATGCCTATGCCTCCTGTCTGATAACTGTTATTGTTACTGCTACCAAATCCCCCGTTGTTGTTGCTGGTGCTGATGCCTCCGTTGTTAGAAAGGCCAGGAGAGGATGTACGGACTGGCGGTTGGTTTTTTGCCTCATAGTGATTCATAGTGGAGCTAAAAAAGTCGTCTGAACTAGTATTAGTACCGCCTCCTTGTTGATAATCCGACGATCCAAATCCACCGTATCGGCTATTGCTTGGAGGACGAGAACCGGATGCTTGAGGGTTAAGTTGCGAATTGACCATAGTTCCCAATGTGCGACCACCTTCTTGGACCTGTCAAGGACCCAAATAAGAATAAAGCGTAGATATATAAGAGCTTTATCAGAATTGTTTCCTCATTCGTTGATCCTTTGTTATAATCGACAATACTTCAAAATCAAAAGCTATACCTTCTGTCCAATGGAAGAAACATATCCACCAACCTTGTGTTGAAAATCTGGATCTGTGACTGTGGCTGCCGTAGGCTTGATCACGTTTTCATTGATCATATTTGCGCCTGCTACCAGCGTTGTTGACAAAAAGGACCAGCCCTTTGACAAGGCTGCTGCAGGATCGTTCAGGATATCATTCATATCCAGACTATCGTTTTGTGGAGGGCCTGAAGGCGTATTACCAAACCCGGTGTATTTACCACCTTGGCTTGGCGGTAGATACTCTGATCGATTCGCATTTTCATTACCAAGACGATTAAAGTACTGTTCATTTCTGGCCTTATCTGTAAGGGGCGTTGTTCCACCGCTGTTGCTGTTACCGTTGTAACCGAGACTACCTCCTGGCGAGGGACCGCTATATCCACTGCCACCACCACTCACTGGGCTGTTATATCCATTAGAACCAAACGGCGATCCGTTGTTATTGTTTCGAGCCCCAAATGCAGGCGATCCCGTTCGATTACTGTTCACAGAGTTTGAGCGGATGGGTGCTTGCGTTGTCGAAGTGGAAGGTGTCCATGGCCGACCTTCACATAGTGCTGCCAGCTAATAGGGGACGACAAAAAAAATTGGTGTAAATATTCAGTCAGATTTGTAATGGACATAAAATTTCAGCAACTGTATATGCACGAGTTCGACATGCGCGTGGCATTCAGTTAACATGACTTTGTGTAGTGGATGCTTATTTAAGCTTTTTCTTTTTTTGTTTAGAATTTGTAAGGGTGTGTTTTCATATTGTCTGTAGTTTTGTAGTCCTTGCTGTCTGTGAATGTTTACGTGCAGCATTTTGTTACCTTTTCTTTGTACTGTGCAGCAAAGACACTGCTGTACTTCTCTTTGATAGACATGCCTGGGAAATAGTCGGGGCTTGACTCGAAAAAATCCTTAGCTTTAATGTTGCCTCCAAGCTCCATCTTCTTCAACTGATCGTCAGACCATTTATCCATTGATATGGAACGCACGAAGCTTTGGACCGACAGAAGATCAAGAGGATGATATAAGGGATGATATAAACGATACCGACAAAATATTAGTTGAATGGCAACTGGAACGATTAATTGGACGATACATCTTTTTTTTATGCAGGCTTGAGCAGAAAAAATAAGTAATAAAACAAAGGTACCACGCAATGCTATGCAGTCGTATAGACCCACCTAATATGAACACCAAGTGAGCGATGGACCCCTGAGCACTCTAGACAGATGAAGATGCCCAAGTTGCAACTAGCCCATTGAGGATTGGGTGCATTGCAATCCATGCAGTTCTGTACATATGAAGATGAATAATAGCACGCATTAGGAAAGAGAACTGAGCACTTGACCATTTACTGACAGATGATGTTGAATGACCGAATGAGCCATGGCTACGATACTCCAGCTGCCAGTGAAACTCTTTTTTCTTTTTTCTGCGTGTGTTATAAGATCGGTGCCAGTCTTTCTAGCCCAAAGTGTTGCGTGTATAATAATCAGCTTGTTTTTTGGTTGCTAATAATAATAAAATAGCAGCCTTTGTTGGCTAGTTTCATCGATCGGCGTCACAATGGTTGCAATGACTGGATCCTGAAATGGTAATGTCCTGCGAGGTTGATTGTAAATGTAATGATTTACCTTATTCCCTTCCCTGCGCTGGATATCGAACAGGATGCGCTTGTATTCGACCGACATGATGGGCCAATGGGTGAAAGGAGGAAAATAAGGAAGGAAAAAAAATAAAAAATAAAAAAAAAGAAGAAAAGAGACAGCCCATCTTTTTTTTTAAAAATAACATGGAAAGACCCTGTCAACTCACTAGAGACACATTCAGGAATACATGAATGCGTACTCTTGGTCCATCTCTTTTGTCTCCTTCCTCCCTTCTTTCCCTCACATATCCACAAGTGCTTCTGATTAGCATAGTTTTACTTTCAGGTGCCTGTCGTAGCATCCATCCTTCAGGAGCTTCAGTAATAAAAAAAGGCGATTATAAAAGTAAACAACATTACATCAAAAACGCAATGCACAAAACTCCAATGGAATGTATGAGCGAATAGGCACGCGACACAGCTACGGCGTACAAAAAGGTATACTTTTTATTAAAAACGCTTAAATCTCTATTAATGATCTATTTATCGGTAACGATATACCTCACAATCATTCTGTTCTCGACAAAGATATTTATAATATTTAATCTCCTGTACTCGATGCAACCAGTCGCTTAACTCGAGCTTCATGGCTGAGCAGGAGCCCGGGCTAGCGCCGGAACCATCGTTCAAAGGAGGTGTGTTCAAGAAGGGATGCGAGTCAAGCAGCTCCTGGGCCGACTTGCGACTCTTTGGATCCTCCTCCAACATATTCACAAGGAGATCAGCAGCCTGGATTAGGACGGCCGGATACACTGATTTTTGAGAGATAAATTCCTTCAACAAACGCACTGTTTGATTAGTGTTTTCGAGACTAAGGTATTTGGATCCAAAGTAATGGAGATCGCAATCGGGAATATAAGGCTCCAACATCTCGCCAAGAACAATACCAAGAGAGTAAAGATCAGCCTCCGTAGGATCATATTGTCCATAGAACTGTGGATTTATGATCTCGGGAGCAATGTACCCAGTTGTACCACAGACTGGAATGGGGTCCAAGGACGGAGACGCATTGTCACCATTAAAATTGAATCGGTTCACACTCATGGATAAACCAAAGTCAATGATGACAACCTCTCGTTTGTTATGGGTAAGCATTAAGTTTGAAGGATTGATGTCTAAGTGAACAATGTTCTTGGCATGGACTGCAGCAAGACCCATCAACACCTGCTTGATAGAAGCGCGAATAGAACAAAGGCTCTTGTTGGCAACATGACAGTCAAACTTCTTGAGCATTGGCAGGACCAGCACTGTATTGCCATTGTCGTTGACAAACGAGTCCTGAAGCTGGATCACGTTGGGAAGGCCGCGAAGGTAGTTCAAGAGCTCCAGCTCCTTCTCGACTAAACCAGCAACTGGGACCGTCTTAAAGGCTAAAGGCATGAAGTCAGAAATGCGGATGCCAAACTCAATTGTTGAAAGATCATGCTGTAAGAGTGACAAAAATAAAAAGATAATTTGGTTTGTTAATGGATTGCTGTTTGATTACGGAAGGCCTCATAGAAAAAAGGGATGAGACGCGTCGTCTATACCTCATTGTTATGTATGATGAGGAACAACGGCGAATCTGCCCTGCTATGCTATGAAGCCGTCCGCAGTCAACCATGCGCTTGTGGCACTGCAAACGCGTTTCATGATTCTACACGCATCCAACATTTAACATAACCTGGACTTACCTCAAGCTTCGGAAACATGTCATTGACCAGGTATTCGGTCTGACCCTTGGATGGATGGTGTTCACATGGGGCCGTATACACATAATCAGAGCAACAACCCTCTTGCTCTTCCTCAGCCTTGGCCGGTGAGACTATCTTTGTGCTGTCTATAGTATTGGGCGAAGACTCTTGTGATAATTGACTTGACATGACGTCCTCAAGCTTGCCTGCAAGCTGGATATATGGTGTCTTTTCATGACAAGGGCTCAAGAGATATCCACAGTTACTCTGGCTGTTGTTACGAATATAAGTTTGGATCTGCTGCATTAGAGGGTGGCCTGAGCCATAGGTAGATCGATGCCGTTGACTGTGTCGACGCTGTTGAATAACGAGTCGGAGAGGGGGACCTGGAGGCTGACGCCTCTGTTGTACAGGTTTCTGATTAATGGTCGAGGTGACATCACTATTAACGCTGGTACTTCCTGTTGTACCGGCATTCACAGCCTCAGTCTCTCCTCCGTTAATCAGCGTAATGGCTGATGATGATTTGAGTGGGGTTATGTTGGGAGTGGAGGGTGCAGATACTGGTGCCGATGATGTGATGCCGGGCAGAGGTTTTGTTTTTCCGCTGAGGAAGAGAGTCGAGGTTGGGACCAGATTGTATTTAACGGAGGAAGTACTGTAGGTAGATATAGAAGTAGTAGCCATGTTGGATATTGGAGGATTGTGAAATAGTAAGGAAGATCCAGATTAAAGTATGAGGAAATCACTGGTTATAATGTATGAGAGAAGAGGTGTACTGGCAAGAATGACAGCGAAAATACGATGGTTGCATCAATGCAGTGGTAGAATGGGGAAAATACAGATTTGGATAAAGAGAAACTAATGGTGAGTGGGGTAGATGTGAGTGAATAAGGTATAAAAGTGAGTAAGGTAATCAAAGTTGCTGAAGACGGATGAGGATGAGGATGAGGATGAGGATGAGGATGAGGATGAGGATGAGGATGAGGATGAGGATGCTTAATATGACCGAGGCGGGGAGTATAAAAGAGAATGGAGTTGAAAAGATGAAAGGATAAAAGGAAAGGTGTTTGACTGTCTCACTGTTCTTGTTTGCTTTGCCTTGTCTTGTCTTATGCTGGAGATGTAATGAATAATTGTTTGTCAAAGTGGCCTGTTCTTCAGTCGCTATTTATATGATGATAAGAGGTCAGAAGGGTTAGGAACGATTGAATAATAGGATTGAATTGAAAAATATGTTCTGATAAGCAAGGCATGGTTCAGCAATAGAATAACATATTTATATACACTTATACTCTGTTATTTTATAACTCTATTTTTTTTATATAAATATATATACAGCATTTTATTTGTCTATTATATACAACTTATATATTTATATATTTAAATAAACATACGAAAGAATAAAAATAAAAATAAAAACCTGGACACAATGATGTTCCTGGTTCCTAACTGATGTTTGAATGATGCCGGAAACGCTCGATGAGAATAAACGGACTTGGCTTGTACGTGGCCTCCACATACAATATGTATATATATATTTGTACTGCTTCCAACTCACGTCACCCCGGATCGATCTGACTCCTACACGATCCAAACTAAATCCTTGGTTTAGACATGTTTTAAAACTTTACGAGTATCCTTGGGACAAATGACCGGGCACCTACTCACGAATTATATTTGCTTTAGTGTCTAGAATATTTCAATGGAGATTGTAATTTACCTCTCACACCGCCACTTTATCTGCCAAGCAAGATCATCACATTTTGATACATTTATATAATATAAATGTATGTAATGCCCTGTAGCATTTGGCACTGCAATCGAATATGGTCTCTTTTCCCCAAAAAAAAAAAAAAAAAAAAAAAAAAAAAATAGGCATTTAATAATCACAATGTATTGTTTGCCGACATAGGGCCCTAATTAGGCGCTCTTGATTTAATTGCTTTTATTGCTATATCCATCCGCAACCTTCATAATGTATGTAGAATAACAAAGTAATAAAGAGATGGAAGGGAAAAAAGAGAGACAAATAAGGATAAATGGACTTTGAATTTGTTATTTATTCCGCTATCGTTTATTTTGGCTATTTAGAAAAGAGGCAAAGGGAAAGATGTGCATGGCAAATACCTTTCATTGTTCCTGGATTATGGCGGATCAATTCATTACACAAGATCATCCATTACCCATGAGCCTGTCAAGATCATCACTTTCAATAATGTCGAGGGGTTTCTCATCTTACTGCTCCCTACTTCTTCCTTCCCCCTATCAACCTACCCTTTCCCTTGCATTTGCTTACCATTTTGTGTCGTCTTGGTTAGCTTTCACTTCATACTACCTATTCAACGATCGAGCCCCAGCCATATCGCAAGCATTCGTGAATAGAGAATGCGCTATTTTTCTTTTTTTAAGAGATAAGCAAATCAGGTAAGGATAATACAACCTGCTCTGGCAAGCCAAGCTTATAGGGGTCATAGCAAAATACTTTAGTTCTCGTACTATCGCTTGCTCTTCTTTTTTTTTTTAACCCATCGTCTTACTTTGTTATCGCAAAAATAATAAGGAAATAATAGTGCCTCTGGACACGAGGACAACCATCCTAAAAAAAAATCTCCATCTCTCACTGCTCTTGTAGATGCAAGCATCGAGGTAATGACGGCCTCGAGACGAGAGGAAAGAGTAGTTCAGTTGTCTTTTTTTTTTTTTTTTTTTATAGCAAACAAAGCGCGGGGATGCACACTCCCTGGTCATTTTGCGTCAGACAGAAATAGCACTTTCTCCATTTTATGTACTTCGCCTGCTTGTTAAAGTTATTAGGCATCTATCCCCGTTTAACTTTGGCTTTACTTTGTCTATCTTAACATAAACCCTTCACAATCAGTCTAAATACTCTTCTAATTTAATCAAGTCTAAACCGAAAAATAAAGCTTACGGTTGCTCCGACGCTGCCCCGTGTCAACAGTACATGTACATAGATAATATGGGGCAAGACTATGACAGGGCTTGTTATAAGAGGATGATGAAAAAGGCACTAACTGACCATTGCACGTGAGAGAGAACCACTCTTCAATCACACAGACCCTTTTACTCCAAAAGTATCCAGTCAATCAACAATCCGATTATTCACTATCCATTTATCCACTACATACAAAAAAAAAAAAAAATGGAAGATCGATGGCGAAAGTCGATGGCGAATACCACAATAGCGCTAAAGCCCGGTACTTTTCCGAACAAATGGAGCGGGCGGATAAAAGAATGTGCAATTGAACTATTTTAGACTTCTTTTGAAAGCGCTAGTGCATCCCGACACGCTCTCTGTGTCTTTCTTTACCCCTCTCTCTATTCCTTTTTTGTCTCTTCTTTTGTTCTGCGCGTGTTTTTTTTTTTTTGTTTGCTATCACCCATCATAAGTCTGTATATATTTTCATACATACTTTCATTGGACTCCTTTACCCCTTACACTCTGACTCTTTGAAAGAAACACATTCTTGAGTAAAATGTAACAACATCAACACTGGCAAGGAATAAAGAAAACGCATATAGCCGAAGATTGTATAAATACACATTTAGATTGCTTATTCTTTAATGATCTTCAAAAAAAAAACATCTATTGTAAACTGATGCCAACAACACAATAAACATGGATTGTTGTATTGTTTTGACACGTTCGAGCTTTTTTTGTTAGGAATGCTTTTTGAATAATATACTCTTAAATCAAAACACTACAAACACATATATATATATACGACAGACAGCTAGGGGTAACGGGAAAACATTAGTCAGTCTAATCATATCTAATGCGATAATCAAGAACTACATGTGCATCTATCAGACTCGACTATACAAATGCATTATATATATTTTAACCAAGCCAGGCTCACATAACAAACGCCATATACACATGTAAGAATTGTAAGAGCCAAACGTAAAGAACGGATCTTGTTTTCGTAGAAAACACTATGATATCACTATAATAACTTTTATTAGTACGATTTCGTCGATCCTAGAAAACGCGTCGCGCGGATTGTGCTTATTTTATTTTATACAGTTATTCTATTTTACACTACATAGATGACACAGATGATGACATGACCAAAAATCATATGTGGCACATCTGTATACATCATAAGCAACGAACCACAATCTTCCAGAAAGGAGTAAGGTGGCCATTGCGCTCTTCATTTTTTACTCCGATTCCACATTATGTAAGATGAATATGCAAAACCTTGTTAAGACTCTCTACATATATATATATTTATATGTATATATACTATATGACCCTAGCATGACGCCAATTGATGTCCAATACCACGGACACAATTTTTTATGACACTCCGGATCACTTGAAATTTGTATTTTCACAATCAAAGCAATTTACTAACAGCTACGGAAGACCCATCCATGAAATCATACTTTTCACTAAAGACTAGTGCTTTTTTTTTTTTTTTTTTTTTTTTTTTAAAAAAAAAACTTTTCTGAAAGCATTGAATGTGGAGTATAATACTGGTGTAAATGCCCGGATTTATAAGCAGTATTCAAAGCGCCTCACCACTTTTAGGACACGGAGCCGTCTCATTTCGATTGACACCCTTGAGAAGGCTGGTTCAGCTTTTTTTTTTTTTTTTTTTTTTTTTTTTTGATAACGAAGGCCTACGAGGCCATATAAGTTCTTTTGCCAGACTCTTCGCCTGCTTGCACCACGACGAGATGGTCTGGTTGCGCGCCCCACCTTTTTTTTTTTTTTTGATAACAA